GCCTGGAATAATAACATTCAAAATTTTGATCATAGATAAGTGTGCATAAATATATAATGTATGTATGCGTATATATATATATATATTAGGGTCTTGTGAATTGCTTCGATTCGTGAATCAAGTGTCGCTTCGATTCGAGTCGAAATAAAAAAAATTCAAGTTTTTGCGAATTATTTTGCGAATATTACTGGTTTTTTTAGATTTCTAAAGCTAAAATGTAATTGAAATGGGTTTTTCAAACCGGGGGAAGAAAAAGTAATTGAAAATAGTTCTAACATCACTTTAAAACAAACGCCAAAAATATAATCAGAGCAAAAAGAATTTGTTCAAAGAAATATTTTTATCTTTTTGGAAAAAAAAAAAAACTTAAACTTGGTTTTCACGAATAGCTGATTCGATTCATGATTCGATTCGCGGATCAAGAACTGCTTTGAGATTCAATTTGAAACAAAAAAAGTCAATTTGCAGGGCCCTAATGTATATATATATATATATATATATACATATATATATATATATATACATATATATATATATATATATATATATATATATATATATATATATATATATATATATATATATATATATATATATATATATATATATATATATATATATATGTTACCAACATATAACAATATTATGTTACTAACATATAAAAATATTATGTTACTAACATATAACAATACTATGCTCTCTTCTTTAAGAATATTGAGCACTCTTTGACATTCTGTTCAACTCCTTCAGAAGGTTTATCAAAAAAATAGATAAGTGTTTATATTTATATATATATATATATATATATATATATATATATATATATATATATATATATATATATATATATATATATATATATATTTAAACAATTTAAAAAATGTATTCTACAAAATAGAGTGCTCAATGTTCTTAAAAGAACAGTGCAAATTTCTGATGATTCTTGATGAAACACAGTGTAAAATGAAATAAAATTTTGTTAAGAGATTTTTTACTAATTTATTATATGTATATATATATATATATATATATATATATATATATATATATTATATATATATATATATATATATATATATATATATATATATATATATATATATATATATATATATATATATATATATATATATATATATATATATATATATATATATATATATAGCCACATCGGAAAAGAGCACCATAGCAACATGGTACACAAGTTTAATGATTAAGATTTTCTTTTAACCCTGCAAAAAAAATTGAATCCTCATATAAGCAAAAAATACAAAATAGATAAAAGGTTCATCTTGCTGAATAAATTTAAATTAAAAAATTTCTACGCTCAAAAATATTTTAAAAAAGGTTTAAAAATTGTAAACAAAAAAACTAAAGTTGCTTTAGTTGAAAGTAGATATTATTCACATTCAGAGATCTTGTATTTTATTTTTAAAATTTCTTCGTACAGCTGCAAGCTATTTTCAAAATAATTTCATGAAAAAACTAGTTAAAAACCTATTTAATTATCTAAAATTAAACAAATTACTCGTTGTCAATGATTAGTTTCTAAAATCCTGTTACCGTAGCCATTTTAAAAAACCTTCGAAAAATGTAATTTCACTGCGCATGCGTATAATAACTTTCCTCTTACAAACGACCGTGATTAGCGGTTGAAACTTGTTAAAAAACATCGGGAGTGTGAGGGGGAGCCGTATTTTAGTTTAAGTATGTCATGTTTAAACTGACCCTATAGACACAAAAGCAAACAAAAACAGCCAATACTTTTTCAGAAATTTTCTATAAACATCATTTTTTCAAACGCAGAAAATTTCAAGCTGGGCAAACCTGGGCGAAAATTTTCCTGATTGTTCAAAGTGTTATTTTCAAACAATTTAAAAGAAAAAAGTGTTAAACATGCGGTAAATTTTTTTATGAAATTTTATATTTTTAATTATTCTATATTAATCCTCCATATTTTATAAAAATATTTTTAAAAAATTGGTATATTTGTGATATTGGTAGGAGTAAGAATGTATAAAAGTTTGCAGACTGATTTTTGCCCTAGCAAATGTAAATTTGTGTCAATTTTTGAACTTCAAACCGTTGTTAGACAATTTTTTTTTAAATAGCGGACCTTAAAATTTAAATCTAGTTTTCACATACTATATATAATTCAATTTTTAATTGTTTTTATTATAAAACAAACTATGTTTTTGTATTGGACCACTGTGCACGGCTTCAAACTTGTTATTCCCATGCTTAAGTCAAAGTACAATGGTTTGCAAAAAAATTGCGGTGATTGAAGCTCAAGATCAAAATTACCCCAAAAATTAAACCCCTCACCAACCTAAATATAAGGGCAATGAGTCCAAAAAAAGATTTTTGCTGCTATCTTATACTAAACTTAAATTCGTTGACAGGTTTCAACTTTCATCGAATAATCTTTTATTTTGTGAAAGTTATGATCATATTAAGTTTACAACCCAATGATTTAAAATTTTCTTTTCCTGTGGTTTCGCAAGCCACTTCGATGTGTGATCCATAAGATCCTGTAGTTTAACTTTGGCCTTTGTTTCAGTAACTTCAATCGATGTTTTTAAAGGAAAATTTTAAATTGCCAAGTGTAAAAACATTAACAAAATTTACATCTATGACAAAAAAAGTTTCAGATACTGACTTTATTAGTACCATTTTTTCAAGTTTAGAGGAAAATCATAGAAATTGTATACTTTTGGTGTATGAAGTTTATGTAAAGTCTCTTCTTCTTTATCATGGTGGTTATCTTTTTGGAAAAGCGTAAAATAATCCAGAGTAGTTAGCAAATAGTGTTTTGGGTATTATGGTTAAATGTTTAAAAGGTAGACCATCTTTTTTATGCAAAATGATACCTGTCTTTCATTTGGATGCTTCTTTTTGTTTGAGCAAGTATGCTATGTCATTAATTCAATTAAGTCTAGCAATGGAAAAGTAATTTCAGTTATTTGTGATGGCAATCGAACAAATTAAACTTTTTTAAAATCATTTGAGAAAATTGAAGGAAAACCATGGTTAACAAAATTTTAAATTTGTGGCTATTTTATAAGTATAGAATCTTGTGACATCACTTATCAATTACCTGAACTAGAATCATCTTTGTCATTGAGTACAAAAATGGCTTTGTTTTATATTGCAGGTTATGCTACAAGAAAAGATGATGTTAGTGAAAATGATTTGTTTAATGATACTGCATTTTATTTTTAGTTATATGGAGATTATAAAAAAACTATAGACCGCGGTGAATTAAATATACCTCTCGATTACTGTGTGCAGGTGGTATTTTTTTGTTTCATTATTTTTGAAATTGAGATAAACAAAATGTGCAGAAAGTCATTGTGTAATACTTTTATGATGATATCTGATATTTATAACTTTAATATATTAAAGAAACATGGTACAATATTATCAAACATATTTCTTCAAAATTATTGTTTGCTTTTTTCACCCAAGTCCAATATGGAACTTGCATTGAAGGTTTTAAAGTTATCTGTATAACATTAAAAAGTTATCATGTACCTTTTTTTATAACATTATTGATGTATATTTTGATATTTTTTCTTTTTACTTAATGTATATTATGTTTTTGTTTTTTTTCTTTGCATTATTTTAAAGTTTGTTCGTTTTTTTTGTGATTTAGATTTTAAATAATTACAACTCGTTATTCTGAAAAATATGGTATTTTATTCTTTTTTTCAAAATGTTTTTTTTAAATTTGATGATTCGTAATTAATAGTGTATTAATACAAAAAATGTCTACTGCGGAATTTATTACAAATCATCAAATTAAAAAAAAAAACATTTTGAAAAAAAGAATAAAATACAATATTTTTCAGAATGAGTTGTAATTATTTAAAATCTAAATCACAAAAAAATGAACAAACTTTAAAATAATGCAAAGAAAAAAAAAAACAAAAAAAAAAACATCACAATATACATCAAGTAAAAAGAAAAAAGTTAGAAAAGTTTGCGAACTAATCTATTATTTTTAGTTAGTTTACTAAATTTTAAAAGTACTGTATTACAGTACTTTTAAAATTTAGTAAACTAATTTTACTTAATATTAAAATAAAGTTTAGTAAATCCATTATTTTTAGTTAGTTTACTAAATTTTAAAAGTACTGTAATACAGTACTTTTATAACTAAATTTTAAAAGTACTGTAATACAGTACTTTTAAAATTTAGTAAACTAACTAAAAATAATGGATTAATTCGCAAACTTTTCTAGCCATATTTTATATTTTCCGTAACTTTGTCCGCCCCCAGTCAAAAATACGGATTCGCGACGGGAAGGCCTGTAATAAGTATCGCCATGGTCCTGAGGTACAAGTAGCAAAATACTAAAAAAATTTAAACTAAAACTGCTATAAATCCTTAACCAGTAATCTAATCCTATCTGAAATTTTATTCAGAGTTTGGTGTGGCTATATGCTAGATTTACACCAATTTTTATCAAATGATATAGTGGTTCTCATCAGCTTGTAAAAAACACGTTTTTTTTTTGGCGCACTATGAAGTCAAAATTTCACACAATTCGAACATTCAAATTTTCCGCGAACAAATTTAAAAGATTTCAAAGTTTGCATCACCGAGTAACAAGAAGCTTCTTTCCATATAACTGATATATGGAAGTTTCCATTTAGTTATATGGTAAGATGCTTCTTTCCATATAACTGGCGTTTCAGTTAGGTTGGCATTATCAAGATCCATGATAGCCGTGATTTGCAAAATGGTCATAAGTTATAAAAATAAAGAATTGTCTTTATTTTAATTCTTATTACTTTTTTTGTTTATTCACCTTCCACTAAAGTTGAGGTTGGGACTACTCCTTTTTTTTAAATATTGCTCTTGCAACCTTTCACTCAAAAAAGTTGAGAACACCGCCAGGGACGTGGTTGGGATCAAACTCGGTACTTCTTGCTTACAAAGCGCAAGTTAGCGAAGTCTCAACTTACAAATTTGTTAAGCATCAAAATATACTAAATTATACTAAATTAGGTATTTCGTAATAAATTTAGTTGTCCGTAAGTCCTTTTTTGTTCTCTCACAATGGTTTTTATTTTCTCTAATTAACTTCTTTTAAAATGTCTTCTTTTTCCTTCACTATTTTGATTATCTATTATCTAAAATCACTATTGGTTGGGAAACAGGATATCCTTGCATTTCAACAAAAATATAACGAAACTGGAAATTACCGCGAGATGTCTAAAAAAAGATTTAGTATTTTCAATTTCTAAAATTCATAGTAAAGCGAAATCTATTTTAAAAAGTTTAACATTATTACATATTTTATAAAAAACATTTTACTTTTTAAACAATTTTATTTAAACAAATTTAATGTTGTAATAAGTTGAATTATTTTAAAATGAACTTTAGCCTCACCTCCATTGCGTCAGCATAAACAGTTCCCTTACGCTTGCTACCTGATACATAGAATTGTACTCTCATGTAGTTTACATCATCAACAACATACTGTTGATAACTAAAACAAATGTAATTAAATATTATGCATTAAATACATATTTAAAATAAATTTATTAAAAGTAAAAGTAAAGCTAACTTCACGTGTCTTCTTCTTCCTCTTGAAGTTTCTTCACCGTACCCTTTTATACTATTACCGATTTCCTCAACAACCTGCATTAAAGAACCAAACTAAATAAATTTAACTGTAACATTACTGAAACAAGTTACTGTAGCATATTAATGGAACTATTGGAAAAAAATACTGGAATAAATTACTGCAAAATATTATTGGAGCATACCTATTCGCATTGTAAAAATCTCTTTTTTCTCAAATCAAGTCCTTAAGTTTTTAATTATATCTACATTTTAAATTATAAATGACACATGACTGCTCAGGAACCATGAAACTTATGTCCATTAAAAGTTGTTTTTATTTAAATTAATCTTATACTCTTCTAAATATAACTCTCTATAATGATATAAATTTGATAAATATTAATCTATTATGTAATAAAGTTGATAATAACTTTTTTATTGTAATTGTTTACTATAAATTATATTTAAGTAAATATATAGTAAACAATAAATATATATTTTATTTGGGTATATAACAACCACAAATAAAGATACATGCTTTAGATTCTACAGGGCATTAATTTTATTTTTAGATTTGTGCATAATAAAAAGTACTTTTGTAATATAAAACTTGCAATAAAAGCTTACCAAAGGATGATCTTTTACAATAAAAGCTTACCAAAGGATGATCTTTTACAAGTTTCAATGCCTTCGAATATACAGCATTTGGGCTGAAACTAAATATAAGTTCACTTGCAATATACCAAATAAGAGCACCTAAAGTTAGCAAAAAAAATTAAAAATAGTAAAAAAATAAGACATAACCAACTAACCAAAAGTTATTAAATCTATTAAAACATAAAAATGAATGTAAAAAAATTTTATTTTAACAAATTTTATCACCCCGTTCACAACCTAATTTGTTTGATTAATGGCTTTTTTAAAAGCAAAGAGTTGGTCACATAACTACACACATGAACTTGCATCTCTTTTTACTTTTCAAGGGAAAAATTTTTATTAGCAATTACATCTCCAAATTTTAATTGTACATTTTTAATTAATGATAATATTTTTTTCATAACATTTAACTTTTAATTTAATACCATGTATGCTGATGAATACCATGGTATGATGTCTTTTGTTTCTCCACTATAATTATGTTTTCTACATGATCTCCTAGATTCCTTCTTGTTGGTTTTAAGCCTTATTTTACTCCATGGTTACCATGGTTTTCACTTTCTTGTATAGTTGCTATTTCTAACCAAATTTTTCACAAGAATAATTCTCTTGAGAGTTGTTTTTTTTATTATTGCAAGAAATCAATGTAAAAAGATGTAACCTGATACTAAGGTCCTATTTTCTCAGTTTATAAGATCTGGTATTTTATTTCAGAAATTGGGTTCAAGTGACTTTTGGAAAATGTTCAACAATGTCATTAACAAACTTTAACCTGTATATAGTTTTTATAAACCCTGTAACATACATAAAAATCAGTGAAACCCAAAACATTGGTTGATATATTTTTGGTTTTTCTGCTGATTTGACATGATTCAGAAACCTTATGAATTAGCTTATGCAGCAACTGTTGTTACATAAAAAAAAAAAAAAAAACTGAAATGATTTTCAAGTCTTCTTTTGTTTATAGTTAATTAACTTTTAATTTAAATGTAAATTACTTTTTATTTTGTTGAAGGGTTTAATAATTTGATAGTTTTTATTTTGTAGAAGGGTTTAATAATTTGATAGTTTTGATAGACATTGTTGAATAAAAACTGTTTTTATCATAAATTAACTTGAATTTTTCTAATAATAATTTGTCATTATGTTTTTACAACTATTGTATAGTTTTTTTACAGCAATTTTTTAAAATCAAACTGTAGGTTGGCGCTAATATATACTTAGAATGTTTCTTTTATTTTGTCAAAATTGCAATGATAATGTTAAACCTCATAATGTAAATTTATTATCTACAACAAAAAACATACTACTGTAAGTGCTAGAAGATAAAATTAGCAGTTCTAACAACAAAATTAGTTATTTACTATAGTAAGTGTGAACCTCATTTTCTTTAATTATTATGTTATTTTTATAACTTACATTTATGTTACAATATTTTTTTTATTCAAGATCATTAAAGATGAAAAAAAGCTTACAAAAGACTTGCGAATGAATAAGGAAAACTTGAAGAGAGAACTCTGATAACTCTGAGGTTTAAATTAAAGAAACTAGTTAAATCTAGCAAAGGTTTTTGAGCATAAAATAAAAGTTACAGTAATAAGAAGCCATTTTGCTAAACAAGTAACACAACAAATTTTGATAAATGAAACAGGAGATAATAGCATTAGTCTTAAACATTTGATGGAAAAAAAAAAGAAGCTTAGAATCATAAGGCCAGAAAACAAACAAATTATTATGCTTTAGATCATATTGCCCTACTAAGCCAAAAAGATGTATCTTTTTTTCTCAAAAGTAAGTTATTGTTACCATTATATAAAATGAAGGGTACTGCACATATTTACTGTGCCAAAAAGACATATAAAAACTTTTTTTTTGAATTCTTTTATAAAAACTTTAGAGTTCATTTTTCCATTTGTGAAAAACCACTGAGTTTTGAAACCACACTAGATGGCTCACCATATCATAACTTTGATGCTAAATTTTTTGATTTCAATTTTTTAGCTAAACATCATCAGACTTTGTTCAACAATATTTTATAATAGCAGATAAATGCTGGAACGAATTATATCCCCCACAGATGACTATTTCTGAATGATATTTTCAAAAATGTTTCATGCAAGGCTAAGTACAAAAGGATATTTGTGTCTGTGTGTGTTTATATATATATATATATATATATATATATATATATATATATATATATTATATATATATATCTATCTATCTATCTATCTATCTATCTATCTATCTATCTATCTATGTATATATATATATATATACTTTTTACAATTTTTTTTTTAATTTTACATCACTTTTTTTGAGAACTGTTGACATGATTTTAAAGATTTTTTTTTTAATAATATTAGGGACCCGCCATATGTTTAAGGGTCTTAAGCAACCCCTTAAAACGTTTTTTTTTTTTCAAAAAATTTTTAAACCTAGTGTTTTTGTATTATATAGAACACATTTAGGGGGTGAGAGCAGCTTTTCTTCAAAAATCTTGTTTTAACTACTACATATATATATATATATATATATATATATATATATATATATATATATATATATATATATATATATATATATATATATATATATATATATATATATATATATATATTGCTAACAAATGTATAAAAAAATTTTAAACACCAATAATGTAAACAGTTTTCTAACCTGTTACTCCAAACCCTATAAGCAATATACCCATGTAAGAAGCATCTTTTCCAACTTGCTTTACTAAACAGTGAGACAGAGTTATAAACTTTTAACAATACTTTTATAATATTATTTAACAACAGTAAATTAAAAATAAAATTATTTACCTGTAATTACATAAGTTAAATGTGGTAAATGGTTACTTCATTATAAAAAAAAATTCAAATATACCTTTTGCAGAAACTGTAATGGCACTCTCATTTTGTTTTACATCCTCTGAAAGCTGGTTATATGATCTAATACTTTGTTGCCCAAATCGACGAATTGAGGCACCCAATACATATGAATTCTCAAAAGGCTTACTAAATATATTTATCTGTAAAGATCTATGATAAATCTTCACAAATTGGAGAAACTTTAATTTTTGCATTTTTTCATTTTTTCCCTATGATTTATGCTATAAATAATTACTAAATAATTAGCCAATCTATTACTAGCTACTACTTCAAACTTTATTCTCAAATTATAATTAATCCTAACTACACACTTCAAATTTACCTAATTTATATTTCTATATATATTTCACATCAAATATTTTTAAGGCAGCACCCTGAGATTGAAACTGGTTGATCAATTCTAAATTCACATTACATTAAAAAATATTACAAAAACAGATTATGAATTTAAATTAACAACTTAGCTACATGTTACTGTCACATTGCAAATAAATTCATAACTTTTTTTGGTCTAAAAATAAAATATAATAACGTCATTACTTTTTAAATTTTATTTAAAAAAGTGCTTTAAATAACTAAAAAAAAAGTACAAAAAAAATTTTTTTTCCTTACAAAAATGGATTATATCGAAAGTTTTGAAATAATATAAAAATTAATAATAATAATAATAATTAATATATAAAAAGAAAAAAAGTATATAAAGTAATTTACTTTGAGATTTTTATTATCAAAATTTTAAAATCCATTCATAATTATTAACAATAGATAGTTGTTTAATCCATGACAATATTCTCAATATCAAATATTTAGAAGTTTTTAAGAAATTCTTCAGCAGAAATACGAGCTCTCGCATTCAATGATAACTTCATCTCACTAATTTCTTTATCAATTTCTTCCATAAACTGAATAATAAAATCCACCAACTTCTTTTTGTACATTTGCTCAATATGTGTATTTGAGATAAGGAAACTGATGTCATAGCCTTTTATAGGTTTACGTCTCAAGATAAAAAAGTTTTCTGCTCGAAGCATCATAAATCTCATGAATTTGTGACATAAAATTTTTTCAATCTCATCAGCTTGCTTAACAGCAATACTTACACGCACTGAATTAATAGATCCTTCAATTAAAACCTTTTCTTTCTCATTACGTGCAACACAAATAGGAGTAAGTAAGAGTTCTTTACTTCCTCTCACTTCAACTTCTGGCTTTATATGCCGTTCAACAACTTGAGATGAAAAAGATTCTAAACACATTGAAGCTTCTAAAGATGCTCGAACAGCATTTAAATAAGGTTTTAAAGTTGCAGCCATGTTAATCAATCTTGTTCTACAAAATAAAAAATATACTAGTTAAATATTATAAGTAACAGTTTTTAACTTTATATATGGTTTTCACACAACAAATAAAACAATAAGAGTGACTACTATGTTGAATCAGTAGAAATATTGTACAAAATAATCAAAGAGCAGAAAATTTTATTTTATAACTAACTACTAAAATTATAATCTATAATATATATACCTATTTAACGCTAGAAAAACTTTAGAAAAGAATAAAATTTTTTATAATTTTAACTTTTAATACATCATTTCTTTTTGACAGATTTGCAAATAGTTTTGCTTAAAATGAATGAACTTCTTATTATATTCATAACAGCAACCTCTGCTAATTATTTTAATGCAGTTTTTGATTGCAAGTTAAGTAACAACTAATCATAACCCTAATATGTTTTACATAAAAACACACTTAATGGGTTTGTCTAGCACATTATAAACAACTAATTCTACTATAACTATATATAGGTGTCATTTAACTACCCCTTTTTCCCTCTGTTTTAATGATTATGACAGAATATAATTTATATGATTCAGAATCATAAAAAAACATAGATCTAAAAATTAAAAAAAAAATATAAATTGACATGAAATTTAAAAAAATTATGTAGCAAAAAACTACTGATGAACAAGATAAATCTGCAGTTATGCAGCCAAAAATAAATTTATTTTCACGTTCTTGTTTGTAGAAACTTTTAACTACCTTAAAATATTTATTATAAATATATTATAATAATTGTTAAAAGTACTTTTTTCAATAACAATAATAACTATTATTATTATAAATATTCAAGTCATCATTATAAATACTTATTATTACCATTTATAGTCATTATTATAAATACTTATTATTACCATTTATTATTATTATGTTATTGATATGCATTTTTACACTTCTCCATTTTTTAAAAATCAAAAAATATAACTATTTTAGGGCCCTTTAACAGCAGATTTATTATGAAAAAATTACTTTTAAAAGTAAACTTTAAAAGAACCTAATTTGGAATACCAATAGAAACAAAGACTATTCTAAACCTTGCCCACACCAAAATCCATTAGTTCCTCATTGAGCTTTAACCTTAACGCGATGCACTTTTGTTTATGCTTGTCCAAATGTGTCAGTTTATGTATGTATATTCAATAACACCGATATTGATATACATTAAATAACCTCCTATTATTGATGTATATTCAATAATCTCCTGTGTCAGTTGATATATATGTACATTTAATAATGTTTATCCCTATCTTAGAGTTAGACAATATTAAATCTGCATTAAAAGTCTCAATTTATTTTAGCCATAAATGTACATACATTGCCAGTCAATGTATGTTAATGACTAAAATAAAGTTTTATGAACTTATAAGGTTTTAAATACTAACTTTAAAGACATATATATATATATATATATATATATATATATATATATATATATATATATATATATATATATATATATATATATATATATATATATATATATATATATATATATTTATATATATATATATATTATTTATATATATATATATATATATATATATATATATATATATATATATATATATATATATATATATATATATATTTACATATATATATATATATGTATTTATATATATATATATAAACATAACAATTTTTTAATGTCTAATAACTACTTTTCTATTTACTAGAACAAAATTAAGAAAATTAAAATATAGCCGCAAAAAATCCCATTGATAAAAATAATTTTAAAATGTCATATATAATAATATTCAATATTATGTGGAGACTCTTTACTTATGTTATTATTATTGAGCAATAAATTACCGAAAACCATACAGCCAATTCTTACACCCAAAATGAAAGGGGGAACACAAAAATGTATCAACTAAAACAAAAGTACAGACAAGTTTTATTTAAAATATTTTTTCAAGGTTTTTAAACTTTTTTAAATAATTTTTGGCTAAAGTGTTCATATAATGAAACTGTTTTAAAAAATTATAAAAAAATATGAACAAAATTACATAGCAAGACAATTTACTATACCTATTTTAAACTAATTATGGAATTTTATGTGGTCAGTAATTTCTTACTACAATAATCTCTACCGTAAAATTAAACCAAATGTTGCGCAGCTAGCTTACAAACCTCTGCGAAGAAGGATAAAAACATACATCATAGCGAATGTCGGTTAAATTTATTCTTCTACTCGTGCAAAAGTGAGATATCGCTGTGTTTAAAAACTTCAACTAATAATACTAAAGAACCTCTCAGTAAAAAGTGTTCTATAAAGTATAATTTCATAGATTTCAAAATAGATTTTATGCGCCAGGGAGTGCGATGCACTCGTGGTGTTTTTATTTATTTTAGGCATGAGCACAGGTCCTAGTTTGGACGGTCTGTCACTTGCTTTGTCACAGATCAGCTTTGCTGTTACAGAATTATCAAAGAAAAATTATAAAAGTAATGCTGCTGAGTTAAAATCAGTAAGTGTAAAAAATTAGGAAGGAGGATAAAATGTGTCAAGTACAAGCTATCAAGTGAAATGAATTGTATTGGACTTTTTAGTATAATGTGTTCGATTTTATTGTTTTAGTACTATTGGAATTGATATATTTTATTTTCTATACTAGTTTTATAAGTTTTTATATATTTCCGAATTATTAGTAATATATGCCACCTGTTAAGTTAGTTCAAATACATTTTGTAAATTCTGATAATAGATTTATAATTGGTCATAAACGGAATTTAAAGATAATTTATATATACGTATATATATATATATATATATATATATATATATATATATATATATATATATATATATATATATATATATATATATATATATATATATATATATATATATATATATATATATATATATATATATATATATATATATATATATATATATATATATATATATATATATATATATATATATATATATATATATATATATATATATATATATATATATATATATATATATATATATATATATATATATATATATATATATATATATATATATATATATATATATATATATATATATATATATATATATATATATATATATATATATATATATATATATATATATATATATATATATATATATATATATATATATATATATATATATATATATATATATATATATATATATATATATATATATATATATATATATATATATATATATATATATATATATATATATATATATATATATATATATATATATATACACTTAAGCGTGTTTTGATAAGCATTTGGTCACTTTTTCTGCTTACCTTAATCTATACCGTTTTTTTCGAAAAAGAAGAAGAAAAAACGAAGAATGATGAATGAAACGATTGCTTCCCCATCCCAAACCCTCAGTCGATGTAGCAGCACTCCACTGCAAGTACATATATATATTAGGGTGGTTTTTTTTTCAACTTTTTTTTCAAAAAACTAGGCACAACCTCTAAATGTGTGCAAAATAATAAAATAACACTAGGTTTGAAATTTTTTTGAATAAAAAATATTTTAAGGGGTCTCCCAAGACCCTTGAATTTTTAACGGATCCCTAATATTAAAAAAAAAAAGTTTTTTAAAAGTAGATCAACCTGGTACTCAAATGAAGCAAAATTATATAAAAATTTCAAAAATATCAATTATTTTGAAAAAATAATAATAATTTTTTAAATAGGTTTTATGTTTTATTGCATAAAAAATGCATAAACATTTTTTAGCAAAAAATGAAAAAAGTGCATTTTTTAATTTTTTTTAATGACAATTTTGATAAATAAGTTGAAAAAATCATTTTTGTTTAAAATAATTATTGTTTTTGAAATTTTTATATAATTTCGCTTCATTTGAGTACCAGGTTGACCTATTTTTTAATAATAGGGCCCCGTTAAATATTCAAGGGTCTTGAATATTTAACAAATGTTATATTTAAATGAAATATTAGGAGTCTCAAAAAAATTTTAAGCCTAGTGTTATTTTATTATTTTGCACACATTTAGAGGTTGTGCCTATTTTTTTGAAAAAAAAAGTTAAAAAAAAAACCACCCTAATATATATATATATATATATATATATATATATATATATATATATATATATATATATATATATATATATATATATATATATATATATATATATATATATTAGGGTGTCCCAAAAAACAACATTTTTGAAAATAACCTGCTCTCACCCCCTAAATGTGTTCTATCTAATACAAAAACACTAGGTTTAATTTTTAATTTTTAAATATTTTTAAATTTTATAATTTCGCTTCATTTGAGTACCAGGCTGAAATATTTTTGAAAAACTTTTTTTTCGAAAATATTAGGACCCATTAAATATTCGAGGGTCTTGAGGGACCCCTTAAAATATTTTTTATTCAAAAAAAATTTAAACCTAGTGTTTTTGCATTAGATAGAACACATTTAAGGGGTGAGAGCAGATTATTTTCAAAAATGTTGTTTTTTGGGACACCCTAATACATTATATATATATATATATATATATATATATATATATATATATATATATATATATATATATATATATATATATATATATATATATATATATAATGAGTGATATTAGTTTAAGCTCAATTTAATAAATATATCAATGTAAGAAATCTATTGACAAACTTTAATATAAATTATAATCCTAAGTTTATTAGATATATAAGGAAACACTAATTTATTAACTTTTATTAGATTGTTCAGAAATACGGTCCTGAAGCTGAAAGGCATTTGTTTCGTTGTCTTCTATCGTTTGTGGATTTTAATTGTGATAATAATAGTAACCGAGATATAGCTCAGGTAAATTTATTTTTTGTTATTTTGATGTTTTCAACTATTATAGTTGACTTACGTTTTTTTTCTCTCATTTGATTTTTTAATAAAGTTAATCCTTGTAATTTAGGCATAAATAAAAAAAAGTTCAAAAAGTATGGTTTACATATGTTGTAAATCGCTTATTTTTTCAAAAGCTTTTTTTTCAAACTTAAATAAACTTCTTTTATAACTTCAGTTCTGATTTTTCCAGTGATGAAATAAAATGTTAGTTTTTTTTCAATTTAAAGTTAAAGAGAAAGAGTCTCATTAATCCTAGAATTCTATATTATATATTTTATTCGTTATGGTACATCCAAATACTAATGAGTTTTAAAGAAAAATAAATCATTATTCTTAGCATTTTATTTAATGTCTTCATCCACTTGTATCAACATTTCATTCAGATAAACTTTATTAATTCGTTTAAAATAAGGAGTTGTAAAATGGATTATAAGAGCTAAATATATAAATATGATAAATCTATTTGTCAGACTTTTCTTGTAACCTCTTTCTTTATTAACTTTATTAACTTCTTTATTAACTTTATTAACTTTCTTAACCTCTTTCTTTATTAACAAATAACTCTACTTAAAAGATTATTATGGCCCACATAATGTAATACAAAAATCTATTAATTGTTAAATTTGTTTAATTAGGCTGTTTTTAGTACGGTATATAGAAATTTTTTCCAAACAGAAATCGACTAATAGAGGAGAGTTGTGGCAAGTTAATATAATTTATTCAATTTAGGATTTTTTACCAATTATTTCGAAACATTAAACAATATTAGAGCTTAGGTGGTTTCGATTTACCTACACATGTTTATTAAAAGTAATATATTTAAATCATGACATTTGTCTACTTTTTAAAAATATAAAAATAAAATAGTTCTATTTAACATTAACATGTTTTATGTGATCTAGGTATTAGAATCTGAGTAAACCACTATCATTTTATGAAAAAATTAGGCTCCCTTTTTTATAACAACAAAGTCTTGGCAAGTATAAAAAGAAAAAATTTATAAATACTTTAAAACCCTTTGATTTCAATTTAAGGTAATTATTAGATCTTATTTGTTACAGGATCCTGAAATATTTATATAAAATATCCTATTGATATTTGGTAATTAAGTTTAATTTTAAAAGTTAAATTAAAATTTTTAAAATCATATTTATTTTAAAGTCTTTTAATTTGAAAAACTTTTATTAAATCATTTTTTAATTAATAAATTAACTAAATAATTTTAATTAAAAAATGAATTTAATTAAAAAATTTAAATTTAATTTAATTTAAATAAAATATAAAAAATATTAAATATAAAAATAAATAATAAATATTAAGTATAAAAAATTTAATTTGAATTAAAAAAATAAAAAAATTTAATTAAAAATCAATTAATTTTTATTATTTATTTTATTATTTGAAATTTTTTGAAAAATAATTTGTCACATAAACGATAATGAAAAACAATTAAAACATTCCAAAATAAAAAAGTTTTTGTTTTAAGTAAAACTTGCTGAATGCGAAATGCAAAACTTGCTGAATGCGAAATGCAAATCTTACTAAACGCATTTTGTAGGTAAAATGCAAGCTGTGTAACGCTTCTTAACAAGGCCTGTCAAAGTATTTTTTTGAGTTCTATTACTTTATCTTTAAATCCTTAAATAAAATTTGTAAAAAAATAAAAATAAGGTACTATTTTTGTTTAAATGATAAAACTTTTTAAGAAGTATTTTTTTAAAATACTTTTAAATGCTTATACAATTTTCTTATGTTCTAATTAATAATAGAAAATTTGAAAAACGAACTTTAGCACTGTGAATTTCAAAATGTAATTTTATTATTATTTTCGATAGTTAAGTTTTAAAGAGTTGTTGAATTAAATAAGAATTAACAAACTAGAACTGCGGATAAAAACCAATAGTCTGCAATGAAGTCATCTTTTCAAACAACTTTATTGCTTCTAAAAAATATTTTAAATTGGCACTCACAAAGTTTGGTCATCTGGTATCTTAGGGTGACCACAAGTGTGCGCCTCTGAATACATGCACCCTCTTTACACGTATGATCTACAAACTTTACTTAATCTACTGATATTTACAAATACAGGCGTTTGTTTATAAGTTTGTATAAATAGAATTTTTACATTTGCATTTAAAATTTAAAATTATTTTTTTAAAGTATATTCAATGTAATCTATTATTTTAACAAAATATTTAACTATAAGCTTAAGTGTTTAAGTTTCTATTATTAAGTTTAAGTTCCTATTATTTTGCTTCTAATGAAAAAAGTATATACACTTAAAGTTTTTTAAAGATTTATATATTCAACAACTATTTTATGTTTTTTGTGCTTTGTGAGAATGACTGGATCTCTTTATATAAAGCTGGTTTTGAAATTTTCCTTATATTTAATCTATTATTTTAAAATTTTCCTTATATAATACATAATAATATATCATACCTTGTGAACTTATAATGGTAATATAACATATATATATTTTATTTGTTGCTCAGCAAAATAGTGGTGAAGCTATTGTTTTCTCACCACACAACTCCCCCTACTATGTGTTGATAGTCATGTTTTTGTTGTCTATTATACAGTAACTAAGGCAAATGTTCAAATAACTAAATTTAATACTTATAAAGCTGAAGAAAATAAATTTCACACTCAAGACAATTAAAAGTTCAATAAATTGCGACACAATTATTGTGTGTTTTTTGCACTTTAAAATTTTTTCAATTTTTTTTTTTTACTGAATTATTGAATTTTAAATATTACTCTCTAGTATGGCTGCTGCGTCATTCATGTTGTTAATAAAAGTTAATTGAGTTTTCTATCATATAAATTTTTCCAGAGTTAAAAATGTTTTACAGTTTATCAACATTTTTTTGTTTAAATTTAAATTTTTATTGGTGCTTAACTGAAATTTAAGATAAAATTTTTTATTTTTGTTGCAATTTTTTGTTTTGTTAATTCAAAATTTTGTTAATTCAGTTAATTAAAGATTAATTATTAATGAATATTATTTATTAATTTTAATTAAAATTCTTTGTTATATAATTAAAAAGTACCTGTTGCGTATTTTATAATCACATATACAAAAAAAAAAAAAAAAAATCAAGTTGTAAGAAAATTAGTTAAAAAAAAAAAATATTTTATGAAAATAATACAAAACAGAATGTGAACCCTGTAAGCCTTTATAACTTTTTTTAGGTTCAACTTTTTATTGAAGCTTGCAAGGAACTTGTAGTTAAACCAAATTTTGTTTCTGTTCTTTGCTACGCACTAGAGAAGCCTGAATCATTACAAAAGGTATTTCATTTAAGAACATAGAAAATTGGAAGTTCAAGTCATAATAAAAAATAAAGATAAATGTAGTTTTTATAAATAACTAGTTGTAAAATTATCATCAGTTTTTTTTTTTTTTTTTCATCAGAGATTTTTTTTTGGTAAAATATGTTAACTTTAATTTTATATTTTAGTCAATCAAGCCTTCTTTTCAATTTTTGCATTCATTCAGTAAGGTTCTAAAGCTTTCTAAAGTACAAGAGGTAATGGTTGTGTCAAGCGATTTTTTATGTTTTCATAAATTAAGATAAAACAATTAAAAAACACTGACCCTTTTTTTGAAGAAATTTTGTGAACTTTTTTTAGATGTAAATTTAATATGAATTTGTCTCAGGGCAAGTGCATACTACAGTTGCATTTTAAAAAAAAGTTGAAACTGGTTGTGGTAAGGGCCTCAGAATTTTAATGTGTCCTGGGTCTCAGTATGAATTAACTTTTGGGTGCCCCCAAAATATATCACTATTCTAGTCTCTATCTTTATGTAATTCTCACTGTTTATATTATAAATGATATTGTTATTATTAGATAAAATTGAATAATAATTTTTAAAATTAAAAACATCTAAATGATTAATTAGTATTTTTTTTATCGAATTTTTTTTTACTTTGAATATTAAACTTTATTTAATAATTTATTTATTTTTAGGTTGTTTTTGGTATTGGGCTTCAAAGTTCAAAAAATATTGCATTTCAAACAGCAGGTAAAATACTTTTTTAAATAATATGAAGCAGTTTATATGATATAAATGATCACTTTTTAAAAAAGCAATCGGCAATCCTAGGTCTGGAACATTAAATTAATAATGAAAAAAAAAATACAATTTTTGAGAGTTTGTCAAATTTACTTTAATTATCACTAAAACATTTACTTTTTATTAACAGACTTACAATGGACCCAGGAGTTTTGGAAATAACTAATGATTAAGAAATCCTAGAAAACTTGAGGACTTTTTGGAAAGATATTTATTACTTGTTATAAAAAAAATTTAAATTTTTAATATTGAACTTTTTTGTGGGCTGGGATCAAATTACCATATTCGGGCATTTTTGATAAATTAGTTTTTTTTTTTTTTGGGATAAATACTTAAAGTTAAATTTTTTTTTAGATGACAATTAAAAGAGTAATTTATTTGTGGACTGGGTTTAAATTACTATATTTAGGCATTTTTGATAAATTAGTTTTTTTTTTTGATAAATACTTTAAATGATAATGAGTGTTTTTTTTGATAAATACTAAATGACAATTAAAAGAATAATTTATTAGATCTACTTAAAGAAAAGAAAATTCAAAAAAAAAAAAAAAAACTGTTTAATGATAAGAAGTTTAGTACTTAGAAACAAGTCAAATTTGGATTTGAAAAAATGTTAGTATAATAAAATTATAAGCAAGGAGTTCTGATGATTTGATCTTACAACATATTTGAAGATAAAAAGTTAAAACAGTAAAAAATGTTAGTAACTACATAACTAATCATAAATTACTTTTTCAAACATATCATCAAAATATCATTTTGAAAACATGCGCTCATTAGCGTATGTTTTCAAAATAAATTCTGCTTGTATGCTCATCTGAATCACAATCTTGACATAACACCAGGATCTGATCTCTTTAAAAGACAACTCATCACATCTGTAAGTTGTTCTAGATGCAATGTCTTACGAGAGAGAAGCTTTAAATAGTTTTTTATATCTTTGTTGTTTGCTTCTAGACCTTCCTCCGATAAATTGCAGAGGCCATTACCTTCATTAAGAATTATCAACTCAGCTAAATGATGAAGCACCCCATGTGAAAAGTGTGGCTAATTTGTGCCTATGACATATTTGTAATAATGTTAAGTGTAGCATTATTACATAACTCCTGAAATTTGTCTAATTTAATTTTAGACTGACAAGAAACTATACAAAGAATTACACTGATTTGAGAATGTAATAGTAGCATACTATCTTTGTACATAGGAGAGCAAAGATTTTTATGGTAAAAATTAACGCTTCAAAAAAAATCTGTGACCTTGTGACCCTGTTATGTATTGGTTTACCAAGTAATCCTGTTTTTTCAACCCAATGTCTATAATCTATATGATATTGATACAGTAGTTTTAAAAACCAGGTAGTGCCATATATGAATGTGTAATAAATATACTTTTTTAATTAGATTTTGTTTATGATTTTTTAGTCAGTCATTTTGTTTGTGATTTTTTTAGTTAGTCAAATCTCCAGTTATAGGAGGAATTATACTATCCTTATTAACTCACTTTTTTTACAGCATCCAAGTTTCTTTTGTTGATCAATCAATCAAAAATTCTTCACTAACCCTCTAAATATCTGTCCACTCAGTAGTTTTTGTTTTGCAAAGTATACAATCTGCTGGTCCTAGATTGCTGCTAAGTCATTTAAAATTAAAATACTTCATTGTATCTTGAATATAAATTTTGACATTGATATAATTTTTGCCAAACAGACAACACATTACTTCAGCATTTAATTCTTCTTGTATGTTATCAGTAGTTAATACAATAATGCCTATCAAATCTTAATAAGTTTCTGTTTCTTTTATCAAAAACACAGGACGTAATGATTTCGATGCATTTAGTGAATAATTTTGCCACAGGGTTATATTTTTACTTGATGGCATATTAGTTTCAGAAAAATAAGACCATATTGAAAAATATTTGACTTGCGTTCAATGATTTCTTTTGATTTCCTTGATTCTTGTTGCTCAGCTTCATCACAACCATCCTTAAAACACATCTGATGCTCATTGCCGGTCTACTGGAATAAAAGAATCTTTAATTATATTCAAACAGAATCAGTAGTCATTCTTACAAGCTTTTTGTATTGAACAGAAATACCTTTTTCAGCCCAAAAATTACTATTTGTAAGGCAGTTTTTTCTTCCTTTAAGCGATTCATTGGTTGTTGGTAAATAGATGTTTTTTGAAGCAAAAAAGATATCTTAATTAAGGGATTTCATTAAAGCTATGGATTCATCTATGCTAAAGGTATCTATTGTTTCCCTATAGTTTGTAAAAATAGCATTTCCAACGCAAGAATTATTTTTATTATTTTTTGTGTTTACTTTATATAAAAGGTAGCCCAATAACTGGTTAACATGCAACTCTGGGCACTTATTAGTTAAAAAGTTGTTTATATAATTGAGAAGGTACTGTGTCTACTGTTTTTTCATCTTATCACCCAGTTCTGTAAAAGATTTCTTTTGTTTTGAAAAGCACGGTTCTGTTATGTAAGCATCCTCTACTTCATAAATAGTATTTTTTGATGGTTGTGAAAGTACTTTTTCTGTCAGGCGTTTATAATGTTTCCATTTTGTCACACACATTTTCAAATCCCTGTGAATTAACTGACAGTTCAAAGTTTTGATAAAATATTTCTTTAATGGCTGAATATGTTACTGAGTTTTACAACAGTTTTGACAGCTTTAATAAATTTTGTGAATAAATCTACTCCAGTGATGCATTTCTATTATCCTCCATTGCATTTATTTTTTGTTTTACTTTACTTCTGCTGGAACAAAAACAAAATCATATCAAATAAACAAATAAAAGTTAAAAAATTTTCATATTTGTAACCAAAAATAAAATATTTATAATATTAAAAAAAAATCAGTTAAACTTTTTTAAATTGTGTAAATAAAAAAAGTGCTAACTTGCCTCAGTTCCTCTTAAAAATAAATTTTCGAAAAGAAGTGTTAAATTTTTTAAAAATAATGACACAGTAGAGGCAAGTTAGCACTTTTAAAAAAACATTTAATCTGATTTTTTGTAAAAACAAAACAACAATAACACAAATTTACAAAATTACTTAATTAAGTTTTAAAAGCTCAAAAATAAATAAATAAAATAACACATTTATTTATTCAAAAATATATTCCATATCAAATTGATAACAACTTTTACATTTAGTTTAGTAAATTTCATGTTGGTAAATTCATTTTGAATGAAAACCAACTAAATTTTCTAAACTTTTATAAATACACAAAAATCTTGGAAATTCATCAACTTCAAAATTACTTATCATCACTTGTTTTAATGACATTTATTGTAGTAATTGATAATTTATTTATTTAATATATAAATATCATGACTTAGAATTTAGCAAGAAGCATTTTTTTTTTTTATCTACAAATTTATCTGACTTTTTAAATCAATAGTTTTTACACACTTTCTGTAGCAAATATTTTTTGTTTATTTCCACCTCCAGGCCCACTGTGAGACTGTTTGCAATAAGCAATGTTGCATCAACTACTAAAACTCTGAATAAACAGCGAAATAGCTGCTATTTATTTTTCTCTTGATGAGTTTTTAATTAAAGACAAGTATTAAAAATAAAAACAAAAGACTAACATTAAGTTTAAAAACAAAGAATCTAAATATAACTATTATTAAAGCCCTGAAAATCCATGTTGGTATTTAAAATTGTTGACATAAAAACAGACTTCACTAAGCTTTAGTACAACATTTAGGTGTCGACCTGAATCTATAAAAGTGTTGGCATGCAGAACTCAACATATAAATGCTGACTGAGTAATCAAATATATAAACGAATAAATTTTAAATTTGACATAATAAGTGTATAAAAGAATAAAAAACTACTATGCATTAAGTAATCGATGCAGATAACTCTTACAGTAATATTTTGCTGGTCTGTAGTTGGCTAAGTAAGGCTCTCTAGTGTTGAGTTAAAATCCTTTAGATTTTGAGAGTTTTTAATGATAACTAAAAAGCATATATTATTAATAATTCCTTAAAAATATTTTTTTAGTTATAACTAATAGCTCTTTAAAAAAAAAAGAAAAAAAATGTTATATGCTTAATCCAAAATAAAAATTGTGTAAATCAGTGAAAGTAACTGATTGAATTTAAAATGGATATCATTGTTAATTTCTCCAACAATATCAATCTAATGAACATGGGTATAAATAAAAATCAATTAAGAAAATTGATCACCATTATCAAAAATACAATAAACAAAAAAAATAAAGTCTTTAAGTTGATTCAAACATTCTATTACAAAAAATAAATTAACTTTGCATTAAATCTAAAATAAATTTATCAGATATTTTTTAATTTAACCTTTCCAAATATGTTATTTTTGTTTCATATTGTATAGATTTATTTTTTCAATGTTGTTACTTTCTTTTCTTTACAGTGAGCATAAAGTTTTATTTAACATAAAGTAAAGTATTAAAACATTTCTTGATTTACTTAGGTCATTTTATTTGACTTACTTAGGTCTTTTGACTTACTTAGGTCATTTTATTTTTGCTTGTTTTTAGATTCATCTAATATTATTGAATAAAAAACAGTTTTTGTTAATTATGTTTTTTTTATTTGTTTAGCTCATGCATTTGTAAAGCAAAAGCTCCCAGAACTACTTAGATCATACATAGAATCAGGTAAGTTAACTAGTTGTTTATTTATTCAAAATCAAGTGTTTATTTAAAATCATAATCAAACAAAAGACATTAAAAAAATGTTTTATATGAACTTTATATATCATCAGCTGGACAATGAACAAAACAGGGCAAATATTTTTATCATGGTTTTACACAATACTAATTATTTATGTGCATTTTTTAATTAAATAAATAAAGCCTTTTATATAATTGAGTGTTTAAGCAGATTTATTTAGTACAAATATTGTGCTCTCTTAGACTTATAGATCCATATATTTTTATTTAGAATAAGAATTTATTTAGAATTTATGTTTAGAATTAATTGGAAGTACTAGCCAAGAAGCAGCTGGTTTAGGAGACGTAGCAATAGAGGTTCTTCATCTCCTTTTAGCATATCTTTTAAATAAAAATCAGGAAGAGTCTATTGTTTCAGAAGATCAACTTAAATCATTTTTGAACTCCTTAAGGAAAGATTTTCCTTGGGAAAGAGCTCCTGCTGTCTTAGCTCCATTATTATATCCTGCTAAACAAATTCAAGAAACATCTTCGTTAAATTTTGAAGCAGGAAATAAAATCAAAATAGAGATGGTGAGTATTTTATTTTGAAAAAGTTTAAGAATTTAACAAAATATTTTTTGTATAAAAAATAATTTATTAATCTAATAATAATTTAATATTCTTATATATATAGTTAGAATCAAATTTAATGGATATAATGGAGGAACTGGGGTATGGTTGCATAGCAACGTAAGTAAATTTTTATGTAAAGTTGTGTAATAAAGTTCTAGTTAATAATACAATATATAACATTTAAAAAAAAGTATGAATAGACAATGTGAAATACATAAACAGAATAAAGGAGCATGAAATAGCTTCTAATTTATTTAATTTAAAATTAATCCTGTATTGGAAATGCCACTATTGAATTTCATAATTATTCAAAACGTATATATTACATATATATTACTTATATATTACCTATATATAATATATATATATATATATATATATATATATATATATATATATATATATATATATATATATATATATATATATATATATATATATTATTTTATATACTTTTTTAAATTTTAGTGTTTAGATAAAAGTTACAATAGTTTTTCTTTTATTAAAGTAATCTTTTTTTTGCAATAAATTTTCTATTTATATATGTAGTTAAAACTTTCAGTGAAAAAAAAACTAAACAGTTTATTAAACAACAAAGAAAGTGAGGTTGGGTAATTACAAATTACTTTTTAAATTTAAAGTTTCAGCTGCCTAAAGATTGTATCAAATTTTTGGCATCAGGAGTTTTGTTATTTTTAGTTTAAATGAATATTTTATTTAAATTAATAATTTTAGGCTTTTGTTTTAGGCGTGAGGACTGTAGAGAAACCATTTCTCATATTAATATTGCTAATTTAACACCAGCAGTTGTTGCAATGGTTCTAGGTATTGTTGATTTATCTTTTCAAGTTTGATTGTTAATAAATCATGTGGCTTTTACCAATGAGGCACCCATAAAAGTTTTTTATACTGCCACCCAGATCTTAAAACCTTTTCTTATACTTATAAATATAAATTATAATTTCTTAATTTATCCTTAATTTAGTACAAAACAACTTCTAAATAGTTCCTTTTTATTATATGACATTCTTACAACTAGTTTTTCCACATTATTTCATGATTTTACATTATTTTATTTTTTAGCAATGATGGCTCGCACTAGAGTTGGATTAGATGGAAGTGGCTCTATACAGGTTTATATTAATTGTATTTGTTTAAAGGGATCCCAAACTCCCAACACATGTTGTGTTCATATTAAAGATAATATTAAAAAAAAAGGTTTGAACCAAATTTTTTTGATTAAAAATAAATAATGAATGCATACCGTGAAAAACAAATGTTGTTGTTTTTGCCGAAGCTCGTCTTCTCCATTTTTTTCAACTAATCGGAGTCTTCAAATTATGCGTCGCAATCTACAGACTTTGGCAATTCCTTTGAAGCGCGTTTAATTCATAAAAGTTTTAGTATTTGACGTCACGGTAGACTTTTAATAAATTAAACTCTAGAAATATTTTTATTTATTTTTAGTCGAAGTTTTTTTGATTATTTGTTTAGTTTTTTTTTTTTTCTACTTTTAATATTTAAAAAGATATTAAAAACCTTAAATATTTTATGCTGGTTCGTTGCTATAAATTGTTATTGCGCCATATATTTAATGTTTATAAATTATGAATATTTCTCTATGAATTATCTCTCTCTATATGAGAGATCTTTTATCTTTTATCAATTATCTCTCTCTATATGAAATATCTCTCTCTATATATCTTTCTATATGAATTATCTCAAAAATTGTTTTACATTAATTACCCGTATAAAATTAGTAACAGCTTTTTTATTTGGTTAGACGATATTTCGTTTCAATTTGCTTTGCATGAAGTTTGGAAAGTCAAACCAAAAAAATTAGTTTGAATATTCACGTAAATCAATATATATTTAAAACAAATTATTTTAATGACGGGGGTTCTAAAGTTTTTTATAACAAATGTAGGTAAAAAAATAAATAACTAAATAAAAAGTTCAGTATTAAACACCATTTCTTTATTCTATTGCAACTGTAAATATTGAATTATTAACTTGAACTAAATTTACTTATTATTTAGAACGACTAAGCAATAAAAATAAAATGCCCCTAAAATTATTTGAGATTGTGTTGTTTATTTGATAATTGTTGTTGGCAATGTTGTTTATGTTGATTATTTTCATAAATATCAAAATAGTTCCAGATTAACCGGTTCGTTGCTTTGCTCATTGTTGATTTATTTCTAATTTAATTTTATCTCAAACTATAATTATATGTTAAAAAAGAAAAGTTTTTATTTCATCGGGCGCTCTTTTTATAAAAGAGTAGAACAAAAGAGAAAGAAAAGCAATTAAACTTTAAATGAGTAAGAGTTGTATAGAATATATATTTTTTTGCTTCACTCATTCTTTTTTTAGATGAAAGAAATAAAAGTTTAATAATAAATTTTCTTTGAATAAGTGAGAATTGGAAGAGAAAATTGCTTGAAAATTTGTATTTGTTAATTGTGTTTTTAAAAATTTTTTAATTTTTCATGTTAAAAGATAAATACCAATTACGACACAAATTTGGAAATACCAAATATAATATGTTTTTTAATTCGCGTTATGACATTTTAACAATCTAAATTACCATCTATCTTGAATTATTGCCTTTAATTAATGTGTTAATTATTGCGTTATTTAATAATAATTTGTCCGTATTTTTGTTAAATATTAGTTGTATAAAACGGGCGAAAATATACAAACTTTATGTTTTTTATTTGATGGTTATAAAATATTGAACAGTAAACTTATAATCAAAATTTCTAATGCCGACTTGTGTTGCAATTAATTGTACTTTTAATGCAAAATCAGGATCTCACAAATCCTTTCACGAGTTTTCATATCTGATACTACTGTCAACTGTATTGTTTAGTGTATTCTTGCACTTTTTTTTCATAATCTCAACAGGTTCTAATTGGTATAGAGTTGCTGACACTTTGAAAATTTCATTATCAAAAATCAAATGTAAAATAAAATGGTATTTCCTTTTTATCCGTATCCAATTCAGCAAATTTAGCAATTTAAATTAAATCAGCGTGATCAAAAAAATTTTATAATAAAAAAAGTTAACAATTCATTAAATATTTCTAATTAATACTGTCAGTTTATGAAAGTAATTGTTAACAAATACTTTTTTTTGACGGGAAAACAAAAAATTGTCATAGCTTAAAAATAACCAGAGAAGTTAGAAAATAGTTCCCTTTGTTTAAATAAAAATAATTAAGAATCAGAATATATAATACTGCGCTCTCTTGCGCAAAAACAAGAGACCGTATATAAAACGTTCTATATAAAGTAAAATACTCGTATGAAAATCATGAGATTGGTAAGTAAAGCTTTAATATTTGTTTTAATTAAAATAATTAAAGAAATATAAGTAAGATATATAAATCTAAAAATTATTAAGATATCTGTAAAAAATAAGTTGCTCCTATAAAATAAAAATAATTTATTGTTTTTACTTTTTACAAAATTTTTTTTGCGATGTTTGGAAAAATAATGCAAATAAATTTCTTTTGCTGTATGTTAAAAAAATACTACAGTAGAAAAACGCAGCTTAGTTTAATTACACTTTTCTTTTGTTAAAAGTCTACCGTGACGTCAAATACTAAAACTTTTATGAATTAAACGCGCTTCAAAGGAATTGCCAAAGTCTGTAGATTGCGACGCATAATTTGAAGACTCCGATTAGTTGAAAAAAATGGAGAAGACGAGCTTCGGCAAAAACAACAACATTTGTTTTTCACGGTATGCATTCATTATTTATTTTTAATCAAAAAAATTTGGTTCAAACCTTTTTTTTTAATATTATCTTTAATATGAACACAACATGTGTTGGGAGTTTGGGATCCCTTTAACACAATAATTTGGTAAATTTCTGTGTGTGTCTATATATATATATATATATATATATATATATATATATATATATATATATATATATATATATTTCTAGGTGTTTTTTGGTATTAATTTGTGAAAAAAATACGACAATGTTTGTATTTTAGCAAATATATTTTCTATAAGTGAAATTTTCACAAATTTTCGCGATAATAATTTTTCCTTTTAATTCATTCAAATAAACTTTTTCGAATATTAGAAATTCCATTTCGTAAGAAGTTAATTGATGATTAAGTCAGCAAAGATTTAGTCAAGCGAAGCTATAGCGTCGTCATTTTTCACTAATTTAAAATAATAGATATATTTATATTGCCATAGGGCACACCGGGTAATGTGCATATTGGCAGTAATTTCACAAATAGAGTAAAGCCTACTATTAAACCTATTGTAATTTTTAGAGATCCTAAGATCATTGTGTTTTAAAAAACTTGAAAATGTTTAGAATAACTGCTTGGTATAAGGGATTGTCCATAAAGTACGTATGCTTGGATTAGGGAGAGAGGGTTTGCAAATGGCCTATATGAGATGGGGGCAGGTGGTCTATTATAAAAGTAAGGAGGCACCAATTAAAAAAAGTATCATTAATTGTAGTTAATTTAAAAGCATAGGTACTTTTAGGAAAGGTGGAAGGTACTTAAAAAAGCGTATAGCAAAGTGCTGGTAAGGAGGGGGGGAAGGAGATAAGGGTTAAAATTAAAGCGTATTTACTTTATGGATGACCCCTAAGCTGCAAGTAATCTTAGGTGAAGCCTTTCATGCTGAGCTTGTTTTCAATATGAAAATAAAAATTTTTTCTCTTAACTTGAATGAGTGTTTCTCGGCAAAAAATAAAAAGGTTCTTAGTATACTAATAGTTTTTTTTTTGTTAATAAAGATGTATTAAAATAGTAATAAGGATGTATTAAAACACTAAGCATCATTATATTGGTAAGAAGATTTTAGGTGTAAAAAATATTTAGAGGTTAGTAAAATTATCAAGGCATGTCTAAGTATATTCATTAGTCTTCATGTTGAGCAATCATTCAGCATGATGAACACCATAGTTTAAAAATTTTTTTTTTTTTACTTACTGTTAATAAAAACTGTTAATAATCTTTTAATTATATTTTTTTTTTCTCGTATTTTAAATTTATTTATTTTGTTATATACATTTCCTTTTTTTTTTGGTACAAAGTATATAACAAAATAAATTATTTTTTTATTATTAGATTTTATTAATAGAATTTTATATAGGAATAATATTTATAAAAATTACTATTTTTATTTATTACTTTAGAATTACTCCCGATGTTCAATTAGTACAAATGATAAGCGGCCTCAGTCATGGAATGTTGAAATATTTATTGATGTATTGAAAGAAATAAAACCATCTTTAAATTGGTTGCAAGTAATGCAAGAACTTGATCATCCAGGTTTTTTTATTAAAGACCCTGAAGGGTTACAGCTTATATTATTTGCATATTACAAAAGTACAAACAACTCAAGTTTTCCTATTCAATGTCTTTATAAAACATGGATAAACACTATTGGTCAGGTATGTCTTTAAATTTTGTTAAAAGAAGAATAAAAATTGAATGCAATTAAAAAAAAACTAGTTGTTGTATTTTTAAATTTGTTATTATGAACATTTTGTGTTATAGTTGACTATCAGTATTTTGTTTTTTTAAGCTCTCTTGGATAGAAACATCACTCAATCACCCTGATGTATTTTGTTTTGGTGATATGCCATCACGTTCTGTAGATATTTCTTTATTGAAATCTTCTCCTGATGAAACAAATCGCGAAATGAGAACATGGTAAGTTTTTTAAACAAGTATCTTAATCTTTAAAAAATTTAAAAATGTAGATTGTCTAATAGTATAAATTTTTTGTCATATTTTTTCTGGTTTCTCTAATGGTGCCCTATTTCTCTTTGACAAAATCCAAAAATTATTCATTGTATAATTATTGAAAATATCCATTGTAAACATTGTTGGGCCTGCTTTAACTGTCAAGCTTGAGCCTTTGCTCCGTCATCATAAAATTGCATCTCTTTTTTTTACAAATACAAAAATGGTCCCTGCTCAAGCAAGCCATCAATGTTAAGTCCTAACTAAATCAGTGGCTTCTTGCAGGCTTGGGAAGATTGAACAAAGAAGACAAAATTAAATTTTTTCAATTTAATTTTGTCTTCTTTGTGTTCTAATCTCTTTTTCCATTTATTTGAAATGTTTCAACTTGATATTTTGATGTTTAAAATAAATATTTTTGATGTTTAAAAATTTTTATGTTATTTAATCGGTGGAATTGTAAGAGAATTTTAGGGAAAGAAAAATTAATTATCTAAGTTTACTAAGTTTTTAATTTTTGATTAAAAAAATTATTTTTTTATAAAATATTCAAACGCTAATTCCTTTTAGTGAGTTAAGACAAGAATCTAACTTACCAGAGCATAACAGGTGTTAAATAAAAAGATTTGATTAGAAATTCTAATGTTCTAACATGACTTTTTTTTGATGACATTTTCATTTTACTTGAAAGACTTTCACACTGCATATATACTTTAGATTAGTTTCATACTATTTCTTCTAAAATATTTTTTTTTTTATAATCTTTTTTGATATTATATACATAGGAAATCTCTTGATTTGGTTGAAATTTTGCTACATTTGTCTGAATCCGGAAGCTATGAAAATGTTCTCAAGCTTTTTGCTTGGCCTGTAAAAAACTGTCCTGATGTCCTTGTTTTAGCTTTACTTCAAGTCACAGTAGGTTTTTTTATTTTTTGTCTTATTATTTAAGTTATTAGAACTACCATTTTTTTTACAATTATCAATTTTTTTTACAATTAATGTAATATTGCATAAATAAATGGTCAATTAAGCTTTAAATATTTATAAGTCAGGAAAAAAAAATATTTTTAATTTAAAAAATTAATTGTATAAAATGTTTTATATAAAAAAATCAAGTTGTATACAATATTTTATTACAAGAAGATCATTTTTGATGAATTTTCAATACCATCTCAGAAGTTGAGTGCTTTTTTTATTCTCAAAAAAACAATTTTTTAAATTATATTTTTTAATTTGCAAATGGTTTATTTTTGGATCATTTTTGATGAATTTTGAATACCATCTCAGAAGTTGAGTCGTTTTTTTATTCTCAAAAAAACAATTTTTTAAATTATATTTTTTAATTTGCAAATGGTTTATGAAGCAAATTTATTGAAATTTATTGTTATTGAAGCAAATAACTATTAAAGTACAAAACAATTTTTAGCGCTAAAGATTGTTATTGACCAAAATTATATTTTGAAATTTTAAAAAATTTAAATATGTTGCCTATGTTTGCTCACCAAATATATTTAAAGTTCTAATTCATAAGATTGATTTATTATATTGTTTTCATATTTGCTTGAATTCAATCAAAATTTTCAATTTTTTTTTAGTCTGGTTGGTATCCTTTGCGTAATGACCTAATATCTATGCTAATGCCTCTCTTTTTAATGAACCATCAAAATTCAATGTGTGTTCTTCATTACACATGGCATGGACAGGTAATAGTTATCCTACAAATAAAGTATAACAAATATGTTCATGTATTTTTAAGTTATCTAATTCAAATATTAATAATAAATATTATAATAAAATAGTATTAAATAAGTTTATATATAACATGTTTATAAAATTTATAGTTAACATTATTAAAAATTGAATAAAAAGGAAATAATTATATGATATAAATTAAAATTAAATGCTAATTTTCATTATTATAAAATAAAATAACTACAGTTAAAGTTGGAAAGATCTGACAACTCATGATTATTTTAGATAATTACTTATAAATGCAGAATATGAGTGCTGGCAAAAGTCTAAAGCAAATCATATTTATTTGTACAATTTTTTACTAAATCGCAAAAAATATTTGTAATACAATTAAAAATAATATATATATATATATATATATATATATATATATATATATATATATATATATATATATATATATATATATATATATATATATATATATATATATATATATATATATATATATATATATATATATAGTTGCGCTAATAAAATCTAAAAACCAAATATATATATATATATTTTAATTGTAATACAAATATTTTTTTGGATTTAGTAAAAAAATAAATAAATATGATTGTGGAGAAAAAATGTATTTTTAAAGAAAAAATTTTACAATTTTTCTACCTCATATACTGAAACCAAATTATGCATAAAATCAATTCTGCAGATTGCAACATATTTTTTTTTTTTTTATTTTTTATTATTCACCTCCCCAAGGCCCTACTGATTTTTTTTTGTTTTTTGTTTTTATGTTGTAAATCGTGGTACAACCCTCTCTCAACTCTTTAACTCCGAAACACGAACCTTGACAAGCAAGACCGCTGCGCTGAGAAAATAAGTTGAGCGCGGTACTTCCAGGGACGTGGTGGGAGTTGAACTCCAAACCGTTCGCTTACAAAGCGAGCGCTTTTACCACTACACCACTACCGCAATATATTATAAAAACTCTGAAAACCAAAGTTAAATAGAGAAACTAAAACAACTATTCTAGTTAAACATTTATTACTTAGTTTGAATCAAAAAAATTTAGCCCAAACAATTTTTTAAAACATTTTCTTTAATATGAACAAAACTTTGGAATCCATTTTTTTTTTTTCTATTTAAAGTGTTGTAGATTGCTACATTTTAAATCATATATGTTACTAAGTTTAAAAAAAAAAATAAGTAAAAAAAAATTCACACCCAAAAAACTTCTTTATTATCCACTTAATGCAGGAAAGTGATTCAAGCGGTCATGGATAAAATCTTTTAAGTTTGAAAACCAACTGCTCAAACTTAAAAGTTCACAGCGTAAAGAATATATCACGTCGTTCATTTTTTTGTTATTGTTATCTGAAACAGTTTGGTATTTAATACTTGAAGTTCTCTGACCCAGTTTTAATTTTTTTGTAGTTAGTCTGACTTTTCTGTTTAACAAAAAAAATCTCTAAATCCACAGTCATATTTAGTATTAGTAGAATATTTAGTAATTAATTACATAATTAGTATTTAGTAGTATTATAGGTTGTAAAATGTTTTGTTGGATGATTTGCACTAAAATCATTTTTTTTATTTTTGTTTTAATTTTTTTGCTATTACACTATAATTTGTAAAAATCTTTCAATTAAAAACAGCTAGATTAAGATTTATTTTCCCCCTTTTTTTTTAAACTACATAAAAATCTGTACCCCACTCAGAGTATTAAAAAATTAACTTAATTTAATTTTTAACTTTTTTATTTTTTAAAACTGTTTTTTCACCTAAAAGAAACAAATATTGTCTTCTACAGTTTTATGGCGTATAATAATCATATGACTATTACATAATTATTGTATAATAAAGGCTTATGCTTCTATTTTTATTAATACTTATTTAAACATAAATAAATAACTTTATTATGTCTAGACATAAATAAAAAAAATGCCAATATTAAAGTGATTATAGTGTGTAATGCTAGCATACTCCCACAAGTTGTGATGAGTAAAATGTTTTGAGGATCATTAAATATTATTAATCAGTTTATTTGATGTATTATGTAACTGGATCATTTGGTGTATTACATAGTTAGAATAATAACAATAACTTAACAGTTAAATAATTTGTGAATATTTATTTACATTTATTTGGTTTAATTTAGACTCAGTCTCCTTCTATTCGTCAGTTGGTAATGCAATCAATGGCAGATTGGTATTTAAAAGCAGAAAAGATAGGTGATCAAGCTGAGCAGCAAACTCGTTTGTCAAGAATCTTGGATGTTGCTCAAGATTTAAAAGTAAAAAAAAATATTTTCAAAAAAAAGGATTTTATAATTTGAATTTCTACTTGCTCAAGATTTACAAAATGATAATTCTAATTATTCACCCATGTGTAAATATGTGTATATATATATATATATATATATATATATATATATATATATATATATATATATATATATATATATATATATATATATATATATATATATATATATATATGTATGTATATATATATATATATATATATATATATATATATATATATATATATATATATATGTATATATATATATGTATATATATATGTATATATATATATATATATATGTATATATATATGTATATATATATGTATATATATATGTATATATGTATATATGTATATATATATATATATATATATATATGTATATATGTATATATGTATATATGTATATATATATATATATATATATATATATATATATATATATATATATATATATATATATATATATATATATATATATATATATATATATATATATATATATATATATATATATATATATATATAAAGAGAGAGAAGGAGAGAGATTCTTTAAATATTGTTAACTCTATTGAGAGAGAGATTATTTAAATATTGTTGTTGACTTTATTACTTTTGCAAAATGTAAATTTAGCAACCATTTAAGCTATTTAGTAACTCTTACTATTATCATAATAGTAGCTCTTATTGACTTGTTTTTCTTTATATTGTTTAATTTATATTATGTATACAAATTAATTCTTAAAGATATGATTTAACATAATAATTTGTTTAGGCATTGTCAATTTTACTTAACTCATCTCCATTTTCATTTGTAATTGATTTGGCTGCTTTGGCATCAAGAAGAGAGTATTTGAAACTTGATAAATGGTTAGCAGACAAGCTGAGGGAACATCAGGTTTGTCAATATTGCCAACATAAAAGTTCTTTTAACTTAGGTTTAGTTATATCACATTATAGGATATAATATAACATCTAAATTTTATTTATTGTGTAATATGACATAACATCTAAAATTTCTGTATTTTAACATGTAAAATTGCTTCAAACATAAAAATATTTCTAGGAACCATTTACACAAGCTCTGGTAAACTTTCTTAAACGTCGTTGTCCACAACTTTTGGGTTTAAGTGATAAAGAGTTACCAAAAGCAGTACAATTGCCACCGGAAACAATTTCAACAACTTTGTCATGCCTTCATCAGTTTGGCAGGTATTTATTGAAATTAGTTAACGAAAATCAAAAAAATACTATTTTTAAAGTGTTTAAAAATTATTGACATTAAGTAATTAAGAAATATTACATTAAGTAATGTAATATTTCGGTTGTCCAGCAGTACAGGATATAGTCTTCGCTGAAGACAACTGAAATTTAAACAAAGTTTTAAGTCAGTTGCCTAGCAAGGCAGCTAGACAGTTATTAGTTACAATAGAGTATTTTAACATTTAATACTAAAGCCATAGTTTAAGATAACCCGCAAGTATCTTCGTTTTAATTATTTGAACAAAACCTAAAGGTATTGAAAGGTTCTTACTTAACATAAAAAAAAGCCGTCTAGATGAATGTTACACACACACGATATTTAAAATGCAAATAGAATGTTGTTAACTATGACTTAAAAAAAAATGCGTGTGGCAGTGTTTTTTAATTTGAATAAGATGTTGCTGTATTGCAGAGAAAATTGAAAACTTTTAATTTTATCTACAATACAACAACAATTTCTTGTTTATTTACTTTTAGTAGTGTTTTGAAGTATTTACATTCAAAACAACAAAAAGTGTAATATCAGATTTTAACATTTTATCAAATGGCAGAGATTGAAAAACTGCAAAGTTGCAAGTTTTAAATAAAGACCAAATTCAATAAAAAAAAATGTTCACTTTTTGTAAAATTAAAAGTAAAAAAAAAAAATTCTAGTTAAGCATTGAATAATCTATTTTTAGTGTAATTTTAAAAAATAGATTATTCAAAAAATTAAAGAAAACTTTCAAATAAGTAACCTTTAAAAAATTATTATTTTTTTAAATATAATACATGTATGTGTGTATAAAATATATTTTATATTTTATTTGTATACTTAACATGTATGTTTGTATAGAATACATTTTTATTTTGTAGCGGACTTAGTCTTGAATTAACTGACACAATAAAAACTATGTTAGCAAACCATGGGCCTTTAATGAAACCACGACCTGGTAACTCTGGTCCAAATGTACTTATTATGCCTCCAAAACGCGAGAATGGATTTAGTTCACCACTAGCAGGAATGTCTCCTTCACCTATTGGTACTCAGGTATATGTATTCACTGTTTGTTTTTTTGAGTAGATACAATGTTTTTTTTTTTTTGAGTAGAGTACAATACAATATAATCAACATTCAAAAAATGTTCAACAAACAGAAAATTTAGTTTAGTATGGAATTTTTCATAACATTTTTATAAGAGTTTTTCAATAGGTTGAGAATTTTTTTTTCTACAAGAAAATATTAAAGAAAGAAAATTTTATAAATTTTTTTAAACTGTTATAATTAACGTGAAAAATATTTAAAATTAAGAGTTTTTTATTTATTGAATGAACAATAAAAAAGTTAAAAATCATCTATTACTCATGCGTTATTACTTATTTTACATATAGATTATTGATTACCATTTTACTATTTATTGAAAATCATAGATAAAATATTACTTTTTTTTTAATTTTTGTCAAATTTTTTTTTTTTTTTGAATCAAGAGATTTTAAAAAAGAAAATTGTCATTTTTTTAAAGTGACCAACTTGAAATAGTTACAGAAAATACACTAACTTGTTCTATATAATGAATATTAGTTTTGGACAATAACTTTGAACCTATATGAATAGTTACATAATAAGAAATAAATTATTCTTCGATTAAATTTTGTTTAGCCTGATTCTTTTTCTTCTGTTTTTGGACTATCAAATGCATTCAATAACACTACTTCAAGCAGTAGCCAGTACCAAAATTTTAATGGATCATCTCTGGGAGGGTTTAGCTCCTCTTTTGGAAGCATAAACAATATGTCATCTACTGCTGTACAGCAGCATTCTAAGTTTAATAATATTTTAAGTAGCGATCGAAGCTCCTCTGTTCCTATTGGTAGTTCTTTATCATCAAGTTCTTTATCTTCTATGTCACAAAATCCTTTAATACCTCAGTTAACTGGAAATATATCGCCAGGTAAGTTCTACTTCAAATAAAAGTGTACTACTTATAATGTATATATTTTTTATTTATAGTTTTTATTTATAAAAGTAATTTTTATACATTTTTTTAATATTTTATATTAAAAAGTTCATTTCTTTAGCAGCAAACTCAATGTCACAGAACTCTCTTATATCACAGTTTACAGGAAACCAATCTCAAAGTATGTTTAATAATTATTTGTTTTCAATATGGTATGGTTAAACTAAAAATAGTTCATTTCAAAGTAACAAATGCCAAATGCTGCAGTAAAATATTTAAATAGCATACAATTAATACAAAAAATAATTTATAACCATTTGGCTGTCATTTTTTTACAGATCAATCAGTTATAAAATAAATGACAGTTGTTTTATAAATTATTTTATTATATAAAGTTATTACTAAACTTTTTATTTTTTTATTAAATAATTTTTTAAAATTGTTTTGTTGGAATTATTAAAAACATGAAGCAAAAACAAACAAAAAAATGTCCCAAATAGACCCAGTGGTCCAAATTTTTTTGGGACTGTTTAATCCTGTATAAAGTTGATTAAAAAATTGCAAAAATGTCCAAAATGTTCAAATAATATTTTAATTGAGTTATATTTACGTATTATTACTAAATATTATCTCCATTTGAACAAAATAAGTTTTTTCCCATAATAACTGACTAAAAACTATTGAATTTTGTTTTATTTTTTATATAATTTTAAAAACAATACTTTATAACTATTTTAATAGCAATATACTTTAAAAGGGAGTTAAAGATCACTTTAAATTCAGCTTTTAATATTTGCAACATTTTAAAATATTGTAATTTAAACAAGATATATAAAATGATTAAAGGATAGAAAATTATTGTTATTAAACTAGGTAAAACTAAGTAAGTTTTAAATTTCTGAATAATGATCTATAATCATGGATAAATTGCTTTAGATTTTAGTAATTCATTTGGTCTTGGTGGTTCATTATCAGGCGGTAATATAACTCCTATTTCATCTATTGGCAGTAGTGGAAGTGGACTGGGATCTAGTAGTTTGTCTGATTCTTTTTCTACTGTGGGAAGCAGTTTGAATTCTCAAGCTCAAAGGAGGTCAAATCCTTTATCTAGTTTGGGAGCAAGTAGTTTCTCTGCATTTACAAACCAATCTGCTGTTTCAAATATAGCTCAAAATAGACAAGCCGATAGGTTAAAGCAAGGTAATTTTTATTATAAGGGTTGGTTTTTTTTTTTTTTTTTAAAGTTTTTTTAATAAAAGAAAAGGTAAAGTTTGATAGGTATTTTTTACTAACTTTTGTAGAATACTTTATCACAAATTACACACACACACAAACACTCACTCAGGCACACACAGATATGTAAATCTCTTATGTGTGTATATATATATATATATATATCACGCACACACAGATATGTAAATCTTATATGTGTGTGTATATATATATATATATATATATATATATATATATATATATATATGTAAATCTTATATGTGTGTGTATATATATATATATATATATATATATATATATATATATATATATATATATATATATATATATATATATATATATATATATATATATATATATATGTATGTGTGTAAATGATAGGTGATATTTCCGCTGTTGTTCCTGGAATGGATCAAACTTTTTCAAAAGAAGTTGACGATGAAGCTAATAGTTATTTTCAAAGAATTTATAATCAGCCACCTAACCCTACTATGTCTATTGATGAAGTATTAGCAATGCTTAAAAGATTTAAAGATTCAACAGAAAAAAAAGAAAGAGATGTTTTTTTATGTATGTTGCGTAATTTATTTGAGGAGTATCGGTTTCTACCAAAGTATCCTGAGAAAGAACTACTCATAACGGCTTCTTTGTTTGGAGGTTTTATTGAGCAAGGATTTGTTACGTAAGAATAGTGTATTTTTCTAATGAAGCATTATAAGTTATACTATATGTCAGATTATGTTATGTGCGCATGCACAGATAACATAATCTGATATATTATATAGTCAGTACAAATGTAAAATATTCAGAAATTTCAAAAGTGTTATTTTAAATGTCATTTTTAATAGACTATTTGTTTATAAAAAATATGCAGTTAGTATAACAGCCTAGCTTTACACACACTGCAAGTCGCAGTATTTAACATGGCTGATTTTAAACAATACAAACAAAAATATAAGCAAATGTATTAAAATATTTAAAATAATTCTTCCAAAATACTGAAGGCAAAACTGAACTGAAAATGGTTATATAATTAATTTTGGTAATGGGTTTTATTTTTACAGACTTTTAACTGAAAATATAAAAAAATCTCCTTATTATACTCTTTCATTTGATGAAAGCCTGAACGATTCTTTTAAAAATGTCCAATTGGATCTAAATATTCAGTTTTGAAGCAGCAATCTAAATTATGTTGAATCCAGTTACTTTGACTCTAAATTTTTAGGTCACCCCACAGCAAAGAATTTACTTAAAAGTATGACTCAACTAGGTATGGAAGGTACGAATGTGAACTGGTCCCTTTTTAATCTTCTTGAATTGCAGCATGATCAGCAAGAGCTATCAAAACTTCTTAACATTGGGAGCTGTAACCTTTATCTAATACATGGTTTCATATCGGTTTTCAATCTGCTGAATGGAATATAAAGAATTTAATGAAAGCATTGTACAACCTTTTTTATGATTCTTCTGCTAGAAAAGCTGATTGTGTAATGTTACTAAATGTGAGAGTTTTTCTTGTGCATTTCGTTCAACACGGGTTGTAGACCAAAAAGTTGCAGATAAGCATTGTTTAATTTGGGAGAATGTTAAAGAAAATAACCAAGTATTAGGAGACTCTTTCTAAAAGTAAGCAACCAAAATGATAGAGCTATGACAAGTGTTCGGGGCAGAGTTGTTAACAAGGCCAAAAGTATCAAGAACAAAGCCAAGGCTACGCATTACAAGTCCAAGGCCAAGATTAAGGACAAATGTTACAAGACCAAAGCCAAGAGTTTAATTTCAAGTTCAAGATTAAGAGTTTCAAGGCCAACGCCTATGCAAACATTTTCAAGACCAAAAGTTTCAATTTTTGCCTTGCGTTAAGGCTAATTGTTAACACAACTGTAAGTAGCAAGTGGTGTGATAATAAAACCACATTTTGTAAAACTAGACAATGGCTATGGGCAGGTTAATAAGGTTATGGGCAGAATTAAAAGAAATCAATAAGAAAATATGTATTTTTTTTTAAGGCCAAGGCCAAAACAATCAATGCAAAGGCCAAAATTTTTAGGCCAAAGACTAACAACTCTGGTTCGGGGGAACAAAAGATAAGTTAACTTCGACTAAATTGAAGTTTTTTGGTTACATTGCAAGTTTGTTGCAGAAAATCTTACTGAGATATTAAACCAATGCCCCAATGATTCCCTTTCTTTTTGTTCTCAACTGTTAAAAGTTTTATGGGTTTAATTATAAAACAAGATGTCCTTAGCATCGTTAATGGCAGGCAACTTTAAAAAAATGATTTTACAAAAAAGGAAAACTTTCTTCTATAAAAATTAATGACAATTGGATTTGCTGCAGAACATGACATTATCGAATTGAGGAAAAAGGGTGCATTATCTCAGGATGTTATCAACATAATCATAAAAGATTGCCGTCTCATTATCATTGGAATTCTGTAAAAAGTATTAGAAAGAAGTTTAAATCCATTTTCTTTTCTGGAAGCAACTGCTTGCATCTATCCAGTGTCAAATCTTTCTAAACAAAAAGCTGATCTTCTTCATTAGATGAAATCTGTACTACATCTGGTTCTTTCTTGCTCACATATTACTTCAAATGAATGTGATCAAGCTTTCATACAATTTTTAAAATTGTTAGATGAAAGTTCATCTACTCTTTTACTTGTATTCATATATTTTCACACTGGAAATTGTTTAAACAAGTTTTATTTTGAAACCATTAAAGTTGGTGTGGATTATAAAGTTTTGTCAAAAGTTTTGATATTTATTTTTACATTATGTCATGAGTAGGCATTAATTTGAGAGATGTTTCAGTATTACCAGTAATATGCTCAGTGAAAAAATGAAAGGAATGTCCACTTATATCTCTTTGTACTATCAAGGATTTTATGGTGTCAAACAAATTGAAAGCTCACAAAATAGAAATAAACAATGAAATGATAAATGCTGTTCGTAGTGATATAAATGTTCGTAGTGATATAAATGATAAATGCTGTTCGCCTCATTACAATATAAAAATTATTTGGAGGAAAATAGATAACTCCAAGCAAAAGAAAATAGTGTGATAATGCTTTTAGATTTTTTTTGGAAATATTGGGACTTGAAGAAAAGCAAAAAGTATTAAACGATGTATGTAAAACATTCAATTAGAAATTTATTACATTCATTACATTTTTTTGGATTTTTTATCTTGTACCCTAAATTGTACAAGTCTGACAGGTTTTCAATGCCTATTAAACATATCCATTTTAAATATACTCTGGTTCAAAGAATAATTTCATGTTGGTTGAAGTATTTGATTGAAGTATTTGATTTTAATTTTCAAGCAAATTGATTGGTTTATTACTAATTGGGGGATTATAGTATCTTTTTTTTTAGAAGTAAAAATGCTCTGGGGTTATAGAGAAGTTTTAATGTTAAGTTTTGGCATTTGAATGCTGGAAATATCAGGAGGAAATAACCAAAATTCAAGGGGAAAAATCAGGGGGAAAAAAATCAGGGAAAAAAAAAAGCAACCCTGCTGAAATAACGAACTAGTTTTGAGAGTTATAGATTTTTTTTTTTTCAATTTTTTTCTTTTTTTTTAAATTCACCTCCCCAATGCCATGAAGGCCACTATAGTAAAGGAGGCTACTTTTAGTTGTGGTCACAACCCTCTCAACTCTATAACTCTGAAACACACACCTTGATGAAAAAGACCACTGTATGGAGAAACAAGTTGTTACAGGAATAATTAATGTATTTAGGATTACTAACTCAAGCATTTATATTTTTTTCCAAAAAGTTTAAAGTTTAAAATTACCATGGCAATTAGTATAAAACAAAATCAAAAAACTTTTTTTAAATAATTTATTTATATTATAAAAATTTTAAAATAAAAAGCTATTTAAAACTTTTATGTTTATATATTTATAAACTATTATTTTTATTAAGATTAGTACTTTTCAATAAAATAATAAATTTTGTTAGTTAATGCTTTTTTTTTATTAATTCTACTGTTTTTAAACTCTTTTTAGCTATATGGGACTTGGTATTGCTTTGCGCCATGTTTTAGATGCTCTGCGTTATCCACCTGGAACAAAAATGTATATGTTTGGCACAGCTGCACTTGATCGTTTTAAAACTCGGTAGGTTAAAATAAAAATAAAAAATTTTTCTTTTTTTTTTCTTTATATTTTTGACCATTATAGGCTTAAATTGTTTATTTAGATTAAAAGATTATCCTCATTATTGCCAACATTTAGCATCAATACCTCATTATAAAGAATTTCCACCTAATTTAGTTGAGTACATTGCTTTTGGTCAACGACATTTAGAGCCACCTAATTCTGCTATTGTCCGAAATAATATGGTATTAGCTTTACTTCAAGAGTTTTTTTAAATTCTGTTTTTTAATGTTGACTATTTATAGTAAATACAATAAAAATATTAAATATACTAAGTATATTTTTTATCAGTACCAAGGATTGTTAGCATAACTATAATGACAATGAATGAAGAAGTAAAATAGTTTTAAACAAAGTGGATAATAATAGCCAAAGTGGATAACAAAAATATTTTTTATATTTGAAACTAAAAACTTTAAAACTTAAAATTAAATTTTTTATTTTTAATACTTAATTTTTATTTAATGGATCCATTTTTTTTTTGAACATGCTAAAAAAATGTAAATACTTTGTTAAATTTATATTGACTGTAATTTTAAATGTCTGCAAATACAGCAAGTTGTAAAGCTTTATTTTGAAATATTTTGATTGGTAACAATAATATTTTACAGTAATATTTTACTAACAGTAATATTTTACTAAACTTTTTATTTTAAGTTTAAAAAATTATTCTAAAAAATTCATACTTTTAAAACATAATTACTTTTTTTTTTTGTAATATTATTTAAATTTTTTTACTTATATTTATTAATTTTGATTTTTTTGCAACAGCATAACTTTTTTTGGTAATATTACTTAAGTCTTATGTAATATTACCAAAAAAAGTTATGCTGTTGCAAAAAAATCAAAATTAATAAATATAAGTAAAAAAATTTTAAATAATAATATTACAAAAAAAAAAAGTAATGTTTTAAAAGTATGAATTTTTTGAATAATTTTTTAAACTTAAAATAAAAAGTTTAGTAAAATATGTTACCAATCAAAATATTTCAAAATAAAGCTTTACAACTTGCTGTATTTGCAGACATTTAAAATTACAGTCAATATAAATTTAACAAAGTATTTACATTTTTTTAGCATGTTCAAAAAAAAAAATGGATCCATTAAATAAAAATTAAGTATTAAAAATAAAAAATTTAATTTTAAGTTTTAAAGTTTTTAGTTTCAAATATAAAAAATGTTTTTGTTATCCACTTTGGCTATTATTATCCACTTTGTTTAAAACTATTTTACTTCTTCTTCATTCGTTGTCATTATAGTTATGCTAACAATCCTTGGTACTGATAGAAAAAACTTAAAAAAACTCTTTAATATGCAAAAACACTCATTAATATACAAAAACACTCATTCAGAATTATATCCAATGTAAGCTGTTTTACACATTCCCAAACATATTTTATAAGTTATATATACCAAATATTTATCATCTAATTTTTATTTTCAAATCTTATAAGAATATTGTTCCTAAAATTTTTAATTCCTTATTTAAATTAAGTCAGAACAAATACTTAACGAGATATATAAATAACACCTATATACAGCTCAAAAGTTGTTTTGCGGCAACAGAATTTTCAATCTCAATTATAAGACCAAAAGTATGGAAAGTACAAATGAACTTAAAACTTTAAGAACGTTAAAAAAATAAAAATAAAAGTTAAGACATGCTACAAAGCTATATGTAAGTTGGTGTGAAATAATCATTATTGATTTGTATATGAAAAGTATATCATTGTATATTCTACTTTACAAAGAAAGATTTGAGTTAATAGGTCCTTTTTTTTTTTTTTTTTTAATTTTTTCTTGTTTTTCTAATTGTTTTTTGGGTTGTTTTGTTGTTGTTGTTGTTGTTGTTTTTTTCTTTATTTTTTAGGTTTTTTTTTTGCTTCAAATATTCTCTAATAAACAAATTTATGATTTATCAATATGCTATTTAAATGTTTATTTTAACCTCTCATACTAAACTCTATATTTTTGACTTTTTCATTTATTTTGGTTCATATAGTGTACAAAATTTTTTATATTTAGGAAATTTATTTTACTTATTTTATCAAAGTTAAGTTTATTTAGATCAAACATTGCCAGATACAATTAGACAACACTTTTCTTATTTTGGTTCATTTATGTTATGTTGATTTAAAGTGACAGTCTCAATTAGTGTTGATAGATGAGCATAGTCTATTATTCTCATTTGATTACATATTTAAATAGTTTTGTATGTTTGAATAGGGGGTCATGGGCATAAATAAGGCAAATACATAAAATAGAGATAAGCCATTTTTGTCTGTTAAAATAAATTATAAAAGTTAATTTTGATTATAGCTTAACAAATATTTAAAAATAATTATAGTAATGATAATAAAATTGTTGTAATGTTACATATAGTTAATATAATTTTAAAATTTGTAAAAGTTTTTATAAAAGGTAAATATGATTTTTTTGAAATATATTTAGATATTGTTTTTTAGAATAACTCTCCTAACTTTGGATTTCTTGGATCAATGGGCTCTAACAGAGTAGGTTTAAATACGCCTACAGATTCAGTTACTCCTCCACCCCTTTCTCAATCCATGATTCCAGTGTATGTTTCAAAAACCAGTGCAATTACAACAGGTTTTTTTGATCATTTTTTTTTTTTTTTATTTAGCAAAGAAATATTTTGTAAGTATTTCATCATTGTTTTTAGTATTTAGAATTTCATTAGTAAGCATTTAATAATTTTTTTTAATATTATATTTTTTTAAGGTTCAAATGTTGTCACTGCAGTAACAACAATTAGTACAACAACTTCAAAAGAGGTTTGCTTGTTTTTAAGTTTAAGTTTAAAAATAAAATTGATTTAATAATGTACTTCAAAATTTTTTTATTTCAAAGCCAGTGCTGTTTCTATAAATTAAAAATGTTATTAATATATAATGTATATTAAACCTATTGCAGCCATCGATTGCAATCACAACTAATATTGATACTCTTCTCGATGCAACACAAAGTGGAATGATTCAACCTGGAGAAGTTATCCAAGATAAAGTTCATTTTATCTTTAACAATATTTCTGCTCAAAATATTAAGCAAAAGGTATTTTAATATTTCATTTAATTTTAAAGTATTTTATTTCTTAGACTCTGTGCGCATTTATTTAAAGATATTAAATATATTAAAGGTATTAAATCTCATCTTTCTACTTTTCTTAAAATTAACATAAAATTAACATGGCATAACTTAATATAATTTCTGGAAACTATTTTTTTGTGGTTGGTGAAACCTTGTATCAGGGATTATCTTTTTCCAGATATTTCTGGAGTTCCTGATATTTTTCACAAATTTTAGTTTTCCTGAATATCCAAAACGTTTTCCATACATTCAAGATTTTGTATATATTTTTGTAATATATTTGTTTTTTAAGTTTTTCCACTCATCACTCATACAAAAATTAAAAAAAAAATTGGAAACAACTCAGCTAAAAGAAAAATTAAGAGAAAATATATTCTAGATTTTTTTCAAATATTTTCCTCAAGCAATTTTCTGGATTTTTAAAGTATGACCTGGATGATCTATGTTTTATATATATATATATATATATATATATATATATATATATATATATATATATATATATATATATATATATATATATATATATATATTTCTATATATATATTTCTTCGCTAGGCTACAGATTTAAAGCAAACCATTTTACCGGAATATTATCCATGGTTGGCACAATATCTCGTTATGAAAAGAGTTAGCATTGAACCTAATTTCCATTCATTATATTCAGAGTTCTTGCAAGCACTCTCTGTAGCTGAACTTAGCCAGATGGTACTTGATGAAACTTACAGAAATATAAAGGTTGTTAGAAAATTTTGAAGTTTTATAAGAGCTTTTTTTTATGTTTTCTTTTTTTTTAAATCTCATGTTGCATTTATATTAAAGAAAGTGTTAAAAAAAAACTCTTGAGCAAAATTTTTTTGATTAAAACTAAATAATAAATGTATAAAAAAAAAAGTTAAAATTACAATTTTAGTTAAAGGTTGCCTTCTCCATTTTTTCTGTATATTGAAGTTTTATATAATATACGCCACAATCTACATACTTGTTAATTTATTTCAACCACATTTATATCATAAAAGTTTTAGTATATGATGTCATTGTAGAATTTTGAAAATATGAACTTGAAGTTCTTACCTTCTTTTTTTTTTTTAAAGTTTTTATTCTATTTTTTTAGTTAAATTTATTTCTCATCTTCACATATATCTTCACATAAATACAACAATAATAATAATAAAGTTTTTATAATGGCATCATATACTAAAATTCTTATGAGGTCAACACACTTAAAACAAATTCTGTAAAATATTCAGAGTCTCTGAAATACAGAATAAAACTTTGAATAAAATGACTATGATGACTTTGTTTCGTTTTTATTGATTTTTAATCAATAAAAAATTATTTATTTAGTTTTAATCAAAATAATTTAGCTCAAACTTTTTTTTTTTATAAGATTTTTTTAAATATGAACACAATGTGTGTGTTTTTTTTTATATACGTTAATCACAACAACTTAATTTGTTTAACTTTAAATTTGTTAATATTTATTTAAGTATTATTTATTTTTAAATTGATTTTTTGGACAAAACCAAATGCATATAAAAATTTATAAAACTTATAAAAATTTAATTTTTAAGTATATCAAAATTTCAGACATACAAAGTAACTTATTTAGTTAATGTAAATAAAATAATTTAATTTTAAAATGAAATACATTGATACATTGTAAAAATTGTAAAAATTGATACTAAGTTTGTTTTAAAGGTGCTGCTGCGTTCTGATAAAGGTCCTGCAAACTTTTCTGATCGCTCACTACTAAAAAATCTTGGGCATTGGCTAGGGATTCAAACATTAGGAAACAACAAACCAATTCTCTTTAAGGTAACAAATCAATCATGTAGTGTAGAATGTTTTTATAGCATTTAAACATTCGTGTTAACTGAAAAGCTTATGTAAACTGCAAAATTTTAATAAATCAAAAATTTCAATTGTTATGCTGTTTCATTTTTTTAATAAAGGATTTAGAAGTCAAGTCTTTACTTATTGAAGCATTCTTTAAAGGTCAACAGGTAATTCTTTTTATTTTCATTAATTTAAGTTTAATTGTTATATCAAGTTGATGTTATAACATTATTCAATAACATTGATAGCATTTCAACAATTTTCTTAATATAAAAAACTGTATACTTGTCTATGATATTAGGAGCTTCTCTACGTAGTTCCATTTGTTGCTAAAATCCTAGAAGCATGTGCTAAAAGCAAGGTATTTCATCAAGTATTTTGTATCAAAGAAACCAGGTTTTTTACCTTTAAAGTATATGCTGAAAGCTAAGTTTTTATTACAACTATCTACTATGTCAGAATATATTTTTATAACTATTATTATTAGTATCATTGAGAACGAATTTAGTATTTTGATTTTTTAATTTTTTGAAAAGATTTTTAAACCATATAATCCATGGTTAATGGGAGCAATGTCAGTTATGGTAGAGTTACATCAAATGCCTGATCTGAAATTGAATCTTAAGTTTGAAGTTGAAGTTCTTTGCAATACACTTTTACTTGATCTTCAGGTTTAGTATAGTTTGTTAATAAAAACATTTTTGCTATACTGAAGCTACTTTTGTTTAAGTTTAAAGTTATAACAATAAACTGACCTAAATTCATAATTTTTTTTTATTTTTAATTTTAGGAAATAAAACCCAGTGAACTATTAAAAAATTCTGATATATTAAATAAATTGGAACACCAGCTTATACCTGCAGAAAAAGAAAAAAGTTAGTTTTTTTATTAAATTGTGTGGTTTTTCTACCATACGAGTATTTTTATAAATATGTTTTTTTTTTTTTTCAAATTTCACACTGATAATATATTTATGCATTTGTTTTTTATTTATTTTTAAACTATATTTTGCATATGTATTCAAAAGAAATTTTTAAAGTTGTAAGTTAGTAAATTTTACTGCCTGTATATGTTATTGATTTTTTTGTATTTTGGCCCTTTATTAAATTAGATCAAAATGCTGATTCATCTGTGCCAGTAATAGGACCTCCAGCGCCTATGTTTGCTTACAATGATATCATTATTGGTGCGTTAGCATGGTTAGGGCCACATATTCAACTTAATCCGAATGTATGATTTTTTAGTTTTAAATTATAGTAGTTATTTTTCTATTAATATAATATCAATGGATTTTAATAAACTTTTTAAAAACAATCATAACCTCTGGTTTTAAAACATGAGCAACAAAAAAAAAGTTTAACAATTTTTTTCTTCACCTTTTAGATTGTCTTGTTTCAACAATATCCACATCTTAAGCAATGCATACGACCAGCAATTGAAAGAGCTGTACAAGAACTTTTATTTCCTGTAGTTGAACGCTCAATCAAGCTCTGTCTCACAACTGCTGAAATGATTGTCAAAAAGGTATGCATCATAAGCATTGTAGTTTTTTTTTTCTTATGAATTACCTCCCTTAAATTAAAAAACACTACAGTCTTGAAGAATATTTATATATATACATAAAAGGCTACAGGTATGTGATAAGTTAGATCTATCTAGCTTTTGGTTACAAAGTAAGCACTCTGCCAGTATGGTATGTAGATATATTTTTAAAAATAATTAAAATTTTTCCACTAGAAATGTATTTGTTTTCACTAGGATTTCTCACTGGACCCTGAAGAAACACGTATGCGAATAGCAGCACATCATATGGTTCGCAATCTTACTGCTGGTATGGCCATGATCACTTGTCGAGAACCTCTCCTTGCAAGTTTAGTTAATAACATAAAAAACAATCTTTCATCTGCATTTAGAGTGAGTTTTTTTCTTTAATAAACAAAATAAAATTTTAATATATTTATCTTGATATTTGTTTATTTTTTTCATCTTCTTATGTTGTTACATTTTTCTTTTATTTACTGTAGTTGAATTTAGTTATGTAATTCTTATTTATTAGAGTGCGAATTTGCAGCAAAAAGATCAACTTGAACAAGCTGCACAAATTGTTGCCAGTGAAAACTTTGAGCTATGTTGTGTTTTCATACAAAAAACTGCTGTTGAAAGAGCTCTTCATGAGACTGATAAAAGATTGTTAACAGTAGGAACCATTTAATATTTTGAAAAAACAATTTGATTCAAAATAAAAAAGTTTTTTCATCAACTTTAAAAAATTTTAGGAGTATGAATTACGAAAACATGCTAGAAGTGAAAATAGGCGTTACTGTGATCCATTTGTTTTAACATATCAAGCAGAAAGAATGCCTGAACAAATAAGACTTAAGGTTTTATAAATTTTTTTGAAATATTGTTTTTTAATTTTTTATTGTTTATGTATATATATAGTAAAACAGGGTAGAATGAAATAGTTATGACAATGTTTATTCTTTTGCTTAATTAATTATTAGATAATCTTTTTTCAAATATTTTTAAATCATGTTGTAGAGAATACTTTTCTGAGTAAGATGATATCAAATTTTATTTTTGATGAAAAAAAATTTGCTATAAATTTTTAAGTTTTCAAATGCATAATAAGATTTTTTTTTATTATTTAAAAAAATGAGCTTAAACCTCTCGGAAGTTAAATTTGATATCTTTGAACTTAATAAGGTTTCTGTTATAACTTTTTACGCTAATCAAGAATCTTTTTTCAAAATTAAGTTTGTTATTCAATAAAAAAAGTTTTGAGTAAAAAACGGAAACGGAGAATTGTGGGGTTGAATTAAATAAGCTAATAATAAGTGAAGCAATAGCTCACTTCTTAAATGCGGCTTTTTTTATCAAATTTCAAGAGACCAATAAATCTCTAACTAAATTTTTTTTTTTTTTTTAATTTTTAATAAAATTTTTCTCAATTTAAATGAATGACTTTAACTATATATTTAAATACAGCTCAATATTCTCTACAGCTTTAAAAAAGAAAGTTAAAAATCTTTTTTCCGTAAAAAATAAAATCCTTAAATATTCTATTTGCCATTTTTACCCCATTTTTACTCTATTTGTTATCATATTTTAAAAATATTTACATTTATTTTAAAAAAGTTTATTTGCCTCCGTTTTTGAAATTTTCTTTTTAAATTTGGAAAACTCTCTTTAGCTTAATTTTTTTTTAATTATTTTTTCAAGGTAGGGGGTGTCACCGCAGGTCAAATGACAGTCTATGAAGAGTTTGCAAGATCTATTCCTGGATTTCTACCACCTCAAAATGGATCTCTTATTGAGCCTTTTCCAAAACCTATACCTGAAACACAAGCTACATTGTTGCCTCAAACTGATGTTCACGTTAGTGATACACACAAGGTAATTTTGCTTTTAAAAAAAAGTTAACAATAAGAATCTTTAAATGAGGTCGGCAATAATTATGATAATTATTGCCGACCTCATTTTTCCTAATTCCGAGGGTTGATATATATATATATATATATATATATATATATATATATATATATATATATATTTGTATAGGTTGATATATATATATATATATATATATATATATATATATATATATATATGTGTTTTTACTAATATATATATATATATATATATATATATATATATATATATATATATAAACCTGTTTATTAAGATCAGGTTTTTCCCACATAATGTGTAATGCTTCTTTGATTTTTTAAGTGATGTGAAGTGTGGGTGTAGTCTAATACTGTAAAAGAGTCTTTATTTAAAACATTGTTTTATTATATGGGTCAAACCACTTGACATTTGAGTAAAAGAATCGAGGAACATTAAAAATTACAAAAAACTTCTCATATAAATCAACATATTTATTCAAAAACAAGTTGCTTTAATGTTGCTAATTAATGTTTTTAATTACTTAAAAATCAAAGGAGCATTACACATTATGTGGGAAAACTAATCCTAATAAACAGGTTTTTAATTACACGCTATCACTCCAGCTCTAATCGATGTTTTCTAATACTCTATGACGTAGTTATTACAATAATTATCTACATTTTTGATTATTATATAGTGTAGTTTTCACACTTTTCATGTTTTCTTTTGTTGGACTTACAAATAAAATTAAATTAATGTTTGTTTTCACTATATATTATATAGTTGTTTTCACTATATATTAAATAGTTTTTGTATTTTACAGTTTTATACTTAAAAATGATTTATTGTATGATCGAAACATGTTATTATATATATAAAATATATATATATATATATATATATATATTTTATATATATATATAAAATTAATTTTTATTGATTTTTAGTCTTACATGCCAGATGATGTTGTGCATATTCTTGGTAAATGTGCTGCTGAGATTGAACAGCACATTCATCATATGGAGCAACAGGCTCAACAGTTAATGGTTAACCATGCTTCACAACATCTTGCACAACTTCATAATTTGCTTGACATGGTTGTTAATGCTAGAGTAACCAGAGATAATCTTTCATCACTTAGACTTATACGAAAGGTAATTTACATTCCATTTTCAATACTTTTTATTATAAAGATGATGTTAAAATAATTCTTTCACAATTTAATATCTCATCATCAGACTAAAAAAAATAAATATTTTTGTCAATTTAGTAATAAAGGAAAACATTAGATATCAAAAAAAAGCACTTTTAAAAATTAATGTTTAGCTAATGAGTATCGGTTTCATAGCCATTGGATTACATTGTTATATTTTTTTGTACCAGATAAGCTCTTTTAGCTTTTTCAAATTACAAGAGTTATGCTAACTTCGTATTTTTTGCATATTTTTCTAATGGTTTGATGTTTTGAATATAAAAAATTTAAAAAAAAAAATTTTTTTAATTTTTCTTACATCATCAGAATGCCATTTTGCACATTCAACAACTTTTTAATTATTTGATGAATGTTTTTGTTCAAATTTTTTTTTGTACATGTATTTTATGTCAGCAATTTGAACAAGAAGGGTTGTCCTATTTTCGGATTTTTTTAATAATCTACATTTACTTCTAATGTACATCAATAAACTTTGTTGTACTATACTAATGATGTTATACTAATAATTAAATAAATTTAAAAATATTCTGATATGTTTATGTAACTTTAAAATGCACTTTTGAAGAAAAAACAAGTAGTAGATAACATTATAAAATTAAATGGCAAATATTAACCAAAATAATCTTCTTTTTTTAATATACCTTTTGTTATCTTTATGGTTATTCTTTTACTTTATGATGTATTGAAATAACTACTGCTTATTTCTTATTGAAATAACTACTGCTTATTTCTTATTGAAATAACTACTGCTTATTTCTTATTGAAATATCTATTGCTTATTTCTTCGCTGTTAACTTATAGTTAACAGAGTTGCAAAATATAGTTTTGAAATCACATATTTGGAACATAATTAACATACATATTTATGCAAAATGTCTATTCAATTGCAGTGAAAATATCAATTGTAATAATCTGAATAAACTATAATTATTTGACCTAATTTGCAGGAATCTATTTATCAAAATCTGTTTTTAAAAACTCAAAACAAGAGCTACTTCCTTTAATAAACATTACAGTTAGTATCCTTTTGCCTCAGATATTTTTTTTTACCAATCTCCCCTATAATAAAGCTTATCCATTTGATATTTATATAGAATTATTTCACACGGGCTTTCAAGTCATTAAGTATTGACATTACACAACTTTAATTATCTGATATATTATTTATATATCCAAGCATATCCTACATCAAGATTTATATGAAGTTTTTAGGATAATGATCTATAGAGAACATTGTAATTTTTAGTTTGGTAAATGATCAAATTGGTTGTATTTACTGTAGCTTATTTGTCAAAAAATAAATGAATATTTTTAAATTTTCTAACAAATTTATCTTTATTGTCTTGTAGAAAGATAGAATTAGTTTTTAAACGCATCTGTATGCATTTTTTTGTTATAAATATTTTATTGTCATGTTACGTGTTTTCAAGTAACATGTTACCTTTTTAAATTAAATCAGTATCCAAGCAACTTATAATGATGCAGTTACATTTTTTTATTCGGTTCAGTCAACAATGTAATTCTTTTGATAGATGTTTTGCTATATTTTTTTATGTTTAACAAAATTTAAATTGAGAATTAAATTCAAATTAAGTTGAGCATAGAATAGTTTGCATACATTTTTTACTAGACTTGTGCTAATAAATTTTGTTCCCTAATTAATTATATATATTGTAGGTTTTGTTACTTTTGTTACCTTGTTTTAGCTAAATTAAGATTTTGCTGTCACAAATATTTGTTGCTTTTTTAAGCTAATTAATATACTTGTGTGTATTGTTTTATAGGCTGTAGAAGGAGTACTTGAAACCATGCTTCCTAATGATACTGAAATGGCTCTTCGGTATAAAGATTGTCATTTAATTGTTCTTCGTGGCTTTCAAGATCCTCGTGGCTATGGGCCTTTATGGACAGCAAGGCAGGTACTTAAAGTTCTTGCAGACCTTCCACCTGAAGTAAGATTTAATTTTGAAGGAATAGATATTCTCTGCCGTGCACATTTAATTACAATGAGAGAATTTGATGGCATGCTTGCCCAGGTAAAGTGAACTTAAATTTTTTTCCTAAGTTTTATGTGTTGACTATAATACTCATTTATTTTAAGCTGTGTGCATGTAAACTTCAATTAAAAGTTATATAACTTTTATAAAGTTATAAAACCCACTTTAATTTAGTGGATTGATGGAGGACATTGCATGCCTGCACTGCAATTAGCTGTGCAACTATGTAGATTATATTTGATTGAAGAAAAAAATCGACAGATTGTTACTGAGAGTGACTTGTCTACAACACTTGAAGTTATCAAAAGAGCTTACCAAAACCGTCAAAACCCAGAAGGGTATTTTTTTTTTATTTGCAAATTTTTATGTTTTGCAAATTTTCATATTTTTATATTCCACAATATTTTTATATTTCAAAAATTGTATGTTTCTTTAAGTAGTAACAAGCATGTTTCTTTTTGTTGTTGTTGTTGTTGTTGTTGTTGTTTTTAATATTATTTTTTGCATATTTTTACAGACTTTCATCTTTGCTTGAAGGAATTCATGCCAATCAGGCTGTTAGCAATACACCTGGGAGTGTTTTATTTGGTGGTAGGGCACCAGGTTCTTCAATACATGGCTTTAATCATGATTTTGATGATGTATCAGGACTTCATGAAAAGGTTGGACAAAGTTCTTTACAAATTTTATATTTATATTTCATAACCTTGCATGTTTGAAATGTTGTAAATGAACTGAAATTTTTCGGTAAAATTTTATCTATTATTTTTTATTTGTAATTAAACTTTCAAATTAGGTTGAGTATCTTCTTCGTGAATGGGTTCGTCTTTATCACCATCAAAGTGCTGGAAGATACAGTGAAAAGGCTTTTCAGGCATTTGTTCCTCAATTACATCAATATGGTATTCTAAAGACAGATGATCTTATAACTCGTTTTTTCAAATATTGCACTGAAATTTGTGTTGATCTCACCTACAGAGCTTTACAAGATTATGTAATTTTGAATTTTTAACTATTAATATATAACATTAACTATTAAAAATGTTAGTGTACATTTTTTTTTTTTTTTTTATGTTTTCTTTAACAAATAAAAAAGTAAATTTTGAATTATTTAGGCTCAAAGTCCAACACAAGCTCGCACTAAATGTTTTCCTACAATTGATGCTTATTGTCGTTTGATTGCACTTTTAGTGAAGCATTCTGGAGATAATGCAAACAGTGTTACAAAAATCAATCTCTTAAACAGAGTTTGTTTCCTATAAATTTATTTCATACAATAAATATTATACTTGTTAAAATTTAAACTGTATTTTAAAAGTTAATAATTTTTTTAGGTTTTAGGAATCATTGGAACAGTTGTTATTAAGGACCATGAATATCGTCAGGCAGAGTTTCATCAATTAGCTTATCATCGAATGTTTGTCATGCTACTTATAGAATTGAATGCACCGGAGCCTGTTTTAGAGGCTATTAATTTTCAAATTCTTTCTTGTTTTGCAAATGTGTTTCATGATTTGCGTCCATCTAGAGCTCCTGGTTTTTCATATTCATGGTTGGAGTTGATTGCACACAGGACATTGATGTCTAAACTTTTGCTCAATTCTCCTCAGCAAAAAGTATATGCTTTTGTTTTTATTCTCTTAATAAAAAAAAATAATTTTTTTACTATTATTAAAACATTTTATTTTTATTATTTTTTTTTATTAAAAAATATTTACAAAAGAAATTATTTTGTTAACTTTAGGGTTGGAGTTTGTATCATCAGCTACTAATTGACCTTTTTCAGTTTTTATCTCCATTCCTTCGAAATGTTGAACTTGCCAAGCAAACTTATTTGATTTACAAAGTAAAATTATTTTAATGTAATCAAATTTATAGCATTAAAAATTGTTTAGAGATCTTTTATATTTTGCATTTTGTATTTTACAAACAGGGAACATTGCGTGTTCTTCTTGTGTTGCTGCATGATTTTCCTGAATTTCTTTGTGACTATCACTTCAGTTTTTGTGATGTGATCCCACCAAACTGTATTCAAATGCGTAACTTGATACTTAGTGCATTCCCTCGAAATATGCGTTTACCTGATCCGTTTACTCCAAATCTTAAGGTAATTAAAGTTTTTATTGTTAAACAAATTAATTCTGGAAAAAAATCACTGCAATATGAATTGGTTTTCCTTATAGTAATTGTTATGTAATTATACACTACTAGCTGTTATTACCTGCAAATCATGGGTCTTGGTACATCTATTCCACACAGACCTTTTCTATACTTGTTTCTTACTTAAATATGTTTTAATAAGCTGTAAAAAAAACTATAGAAAAATTATATTTATTGTTTACTTTTTAAAGCTATGAAAATACTTTGTAATAACCTCCATTAATTTTAAAGAAAATGATTGCTTAAAAAAAAACACTTGCATTAAATTTTTTTTTCTCTAAGAAAGAAAGTTGTTTATTTAATGCGCAATCTTAACTCATTACTAAAACAATTAGCTATAACTCAAAATAACGAAAACATAAGAGCTATCGGTGCAAACAAATTCTGTAATTCGACCAGAAAATAAAATTATTCTTACCTTGATTGCGACAAACTAATTTCTTTTTAAACTATTAGGTAATGATCAACATATTAAATTTGAAATAATTAAAGTTTACTAAGTTAAAACCATATTTTAACAGTAGACAAAGTAAACTAATGATAGTTGGTAAAGCACCAAAGTTAACTAAAGAACTAAAATAACAACTAAATTTAAAATATTTCCAGTTAAACATGAGAAATAACTCTACCATCATGAGATAATAAAAGTAAAATTATAAATACCAAACAATAAAATAATTAAAAAGGATATAGTAAAATATTTAAAAACAAGATCCTTTTAATGTCCTTATCTGTTCATGAAAACATTAATTTTTAAAAAAATTAATGTTTTCATGAACAGGTAAGGACACATCAATAAAGAACATGCACAGTAAGAGTTCTTTCGTAAATTTATTGAAGGTACTTATTAGTTACCCCCTAATTCAGTGATTGTTGTTTATGAAAATTATTAAATGCAATTTAAAGTAATCACAAAATCTAAGCTGACAAAAAAATATTATTCTGACACGAAGGATCATATCCACTTTCACAGCAGCAAATTATTTTAATATTTTGCATGTTTTGCTGACTGAAATTTTGATGTTGTTTAGTGTAGAAGCAGAGCGTACACCTTTTCAACAACAATTTTTTATAAACAATTTCATATTTAAAAAAAAAGAAACTAAATTGATACTTGTTTACAAACAAAATTTAACAAAAAAAGTTAATAAAAATATACATATTAAAATAAAAACATTTAATTACACCTTCATTTTGAAGATGTAGTTCAGTATTTACTTAACTACATCTTCAAAATGATTCTTTAACTCTTCTTACTTTAACTCGGCCCACTTTCGGCAAAAGTAATCTCTTCCTGATTAATGATGGGAAATCTTTTCCCGTTCTGGGCCCACTATAGGAGTATAAATTTAAACAATAAAATTTAAAGGACAATTGATTACTATGATTTAATTGATTAATTTTCATATGAAATGAAAATTCATTTATAATATCTTTGTATAATTTTTTTTAAATAAAACCTAATTAAAAAAGTTATGACACAGGTCACCAAATAGGCTTTACTAATAACAAACAAAAAAGCATAAAACCATAAAAAAGAAGTTTTTAAGTAATTTAACAGCAACAAGAGGTATATTTTCTTATCATTACATTAATTATATATAAACTAATATATAAAATAAAATTGATATTAATAATAATATTAATTATACTAAAATAAATGATCATATAGTTATGTAGTTTAAACTTTTAAAGATGATGTCACTTACAAAAATTTATATCTTCAATATATCTTTTTATATTCTGACTTGAAATTATTTTTAATAAATTTTAATAAGTTCCTAATAAAAAGGTAGTAATAAAAATGCAACATTATATAGGCATATTGAGATATTAAATCTACCTAAATATGTCAAAAATGTTTGTTGGCTTTTTGAATGAGAAAAATTCTATAGTGGTCTCTTATTAACATCTTAATAGTGGTCTCTTATTAACATCTTAATAGTATACAAACACTTTATAAGAATAACCTAAAAATATAAAGTAACTATTGAAAGAGCTGAATGATATTTTAGTTTTATACAACTTAATATTTATAAAACTTACAAATCTTTTATTTACCAGTTACAGATAAGGATGGTGCAGCAGCTGTTGTTGCTAGGGTTGCTACAACTTTATCGGCTATAAATAACAAAAACATACAGGTAATCAAATAGAAAATGAAAACAATTTAAAGCAGTCAAAATATTAGTAAAATATCTCATAAAATAGAGTAATACAATCATTAAAGAAAATATTAAATTTTTTTAAAATCAGTTTTAAAGATGAAGATAAATTAGAAATTAAAACCAAAAATGTGGTAAGCTGTGGCACTAAAATTTAAATAACAAACAAAATATTGTTGTTCAATTTTAAACACTTAGTACAAAAAATTTGTTGAATTAGATCGTAAAAAAATGCCATTGTAAATTTTTTAGAAAGTTGATTGTAATGATTTTTTAAATGTAAATTGAAATATATAAAATCTAACCTGAATATCGCCACCTGACAGTAACACTGTACTAAATAAATAGATTCATATAAAGCACGATTGAATATCTAACATAAAATTATTCAAAACCAATAAAAAAATAAAAAATAACTTACTTTCATTTAAAATAAGATAATTTTTAGCTTCTATAAAACTACCAGCCTGTCAAGACAGAATTTCAATAAGAATAAGAGTAAAATAGGAAATTATACAATTAAAAAATTATACAAAGTATAATAATATTCTGATGATTATCTACATTCTGTCATTGTTGTGCACTCGGTTCGAAATGTTTACTGGGGGTAAAACTTTTTTTGGAGGTTGCTATAAAAGTTTAAATTTTCTTATTACTTTAATATTATGTATTTTTTAATTTTTATTATTTTTAAAAGTTATAAATTTAATCAAATGGTTTATAATAAATAAAAAATTAAAATTTTCAATTTTATTTTTTATAAAAACATATTTTTTAAACCCCTTTACTGTTTTAAAAAAGGTTAAGGTTGCTGCATGGCAAGTTCAAATCAACAGCTTGCTTTTTTTTTTTTTTTTTTAATTTAAAATGCAAAACAAAACAACTTTCTTTCTTTCAAAAAAAAACATCTTCAAAAGCGTTTTACTTTGTATTTTAGAAAAATCAAAAAATATTAAATTTAAAAAAATATATAGTCGTAGGTAGGAATCGAACCTGGACTTCCTGCCCCATGAGCCCTGCGTGCTAACCATTGGACTACTCAGACATATAATATAACGAAAGTTTAAAGCTATATAAGATATTAATGACTTTATCAAATGAAAATAAAAACTATCGATCAAATCTCAAGGAGATGTTGCCAAAATGCTATTTCCAAGTGAAAGTAAAACTTAAAAGCTTGATATATGTTTTAGTATGTTTTTAACATTACATAATTTGAAGTAATTTAGATATTTGCGTAAGTTAGATATTTGCATACACTTTCATGACTTTCCTTATAACATTAAGTGCCATGACTCTTTCTTGCTATTACCTCGGTTGCAATGGCTGCCAAGAGTACTGTGTCAAACACGCTCGAGTGAGTTTTAACTATGGTTGAAAACCATTTGAAAGAATCTAAACAAACTCATTTATTCAAGGCTGGTAAACCTACTCAAAAGTGGTACAATAGTTTCATGAAAAAATATACGAAAAATATCTGTGAAGGAAAGGATACTAGCATGCAAGCTGTAAGAGCAGTGTCTTAGCAACTAGCAATTATTGATGAATGGTTCAGCCAAGTTGACACTGTTTATCGAGAGCATAATATAAATGAAAAGCCGTTTCTTGTGTTCAGCTGTGATGAAAGTAGATTGAAATTCAATCAAGGTAGTGTCAACATTGTTTGTCGAAAAGGAATAAAAAATCCAAAACAACAGCCCAAACAAATGAAAAACATGACTACAATTTTAACCTGTTGAGATGCTTTTGAAAATTTCCTACCTCATCAAGTCATTTATAAAGGTCGAAATTTGATGAAAGCTTAGGTTTAAGGTGGTGCTTCTGATGTTTATTATTCTACCCGCAAATCAGGTTGGATGGAAAGCGAAAATTTCATAGAATGGTTTCGTTCAATTTTTTTAGTTCACAAACAAATTTCAAGAATCTAAAATTCTGTTTTTAGACGGCCATGCATCTCACATTAGTTTTAAATTAAAATAATTATCTGAATCTAACAATATAATTTTTTTTTTTGATTGCCAGCTTACACAAGTCATTTTTTGCAACCATTAGATGTTGGAGTTTTTAAAACAGTAAAGGCAAAATGAAAGCAAATTGTAGACGTTTACTTGGTTAGAAATTCTTATTTAAGTTTAAGTAACCAGCAGTTTCCAGCTATGCTAAACGACCTTATTGCAAATAAAGTTTTAAAGCGAAAAATGCACGTAGTGGTTTTGAAAATACGGGCATGTTTCCACTCAATCGTTCAAAAATGTCAAATGATGTCAAATGACAAAATTGAGAATTGTTTTTCTGGAAAGTCTTTGAAAAAGCAACACAAGCTGCTTTGGGACAAAGCTACAAGCAGCAAATGGGTTGCATGTGAAAAGTGTTCTAATTAGTCGTGTATTCCTTGTATTATCAATTATCATAAAACAATTGAAATTGTGTGCAAGGAGTGTGAATAACTTTTATTAGTTTTAATTTTTGTAGCTTGACATTTTAAAACAATATTTTTTGAATACAACAACTTTTTCATTATAGTTTTTTAAAAATTATCAAATTTGTACAGTGCAGCTAGGATTACCACCTCCAAATGAATTAGTATTTATTTGGAGATAGCAACCCTAGCTGTACTTTACAGATTTTGTAATTTACAGATAATAGACAAATACAGTGGTAATAATAATTGGTTTTAAAATAATAATTTTCAGTGAGCAAAATTAAGGGGTTGCTGAACAATGTTTTAGTCTTTGAATTAGTGCTGTTTAAAAAATACAATTGCATAAGGGATAAAACTGCATTGTTATATGATAAAAAAGCACCTCAAGCTTGCTATATGATTAATGAGAGAGCATTCGCTAAGGCTGCAATCAACCTGATATTATAACTGAGATTTCTTCTGGTTAACAACGGTTAACTGACAGAAACAAGCAGTAACTGTTAAGAGTTTTTTTTTTAACTGATTACAAAAAATGATAGAAGACAGGATCTAATAAATAGATAATGCACACTCTGTACCAACGCAATTTATTGTACCAACACAATTTATTATTGTGTTGACAACTTCTTATCACGATGTAAAAAGGCTGTATGTGTATAAGGGTGTATAGGTGTAATGTGTAAGTCTGTGCTGTTTATGTCGTTCAGTAGAGTCATATATTGTTAGTAACCAGCGTAAAAGATTTATCTCTGAACTAAACCAAGCCAGCCGAGCCATACTCCAGAAAATCATAATGGATTGAACACATTAAAATAAAAGTAATTTTTAGTTTTTAAAATCTTTTTACCTAACTCTAAGCTAGAGGTCTACGCTAATATAAATTATTTACTTTTTTAAACTGAATGCTGTTTTTTGGGATTTAATATGTATGTTCGGAATAAGGAACATGTGTTCCTAATTCCAAACAAAAACTTTACTTTTTAAATTAACAATATTTTTATAATAAATATATTTGTTGCTTAATATGGTTCGATTCAGTTTAAGTTCAAGTTTATTTATTTAAAAAAATTAATTTGAAATTCAAAAAGTAAGCAGAGTTATTCAACTTTAAGTACGATTTTGTTCGAAAATAGGTAAATCTATGGTATATAAATATATTAAAAAGTAGAATCTTATATTTTTACAACATAACCCCTTTATTTGTTATATTTCAATTTGGCAGTTTATTTTTTAATGTTTATTATTAATAATCTTTATAATAATTCATTATAAGTAATCATTATTTTTGCTTATGACAGATAAGATTTTTATTTATTCATGAGGATCATTCTATTCAAATATTATAAAATTACACAAGATTAGCGTTTTTTTAAGTTATTTTACTTGGTTTTGATATAAATTTGATATAAATTTTTATTATGGGAACATTCCAACCTATTTGAAAATGATATTCAGAGTTCATTAAAGAAATCTGTGTTTTATTTCAATGTTTAAGGTTCCCACTTGAGGTTTTTTGTTTAATAAGTAGGGGTTTTGGGGCACAAATATATATGTGTGTGTGTCTGTGTGGTAAAAATAATCTTTATCTTTTTATAATTATTAAAATTAGAAGTAAATTGGTTCACAGACAATATATTTGCTTAGAGCGAAAATATTGTTTATAAGGTTTTCTCTATTAAGTTTGTTTTTTGTGTGGACTACAAAAAAAATGATAATAATAAAATGCTATACACCAAATGATTAAATTATTAATTTTACAAGGTTGATTTACTAAATGACATTGCTCATCCGCCACGTATACTGACTAATTTTGCTCAAGCTATACTACCTCCAAATTTCAAAAGAGATCTTGACTCTTATTTGAAGACTCGGGCTCCTGTTACATTTTTATCTGAACTCAGGAGTCACTTGCAGGTAAAAAAATTTTTTCTCTCTATCTGATGGAAAATAAGCAATATGTTAAATAAAAATACAATATATTTTAAAAAAATACTTATTTTAATTTCATGATTTAGTCAATAAATGAACCCGGAACTCGATATAATGTTCCATTAATGAATGCTCTGGTTCTTTATGTTGGAACACAAGCAATATCTTATATACAAAGCAAAAGTGGTGCAACATCTGTACAAACTATAACACATTCTTCACATATGGATATATTTCAAAATTTAGCTGTAGATCTAGATACTGAAGGTTTTTAATTTTATATTTTTACATTAAAGTATTTTGTGATTTTTAAGTTAAAGTATTTTATGTTATGTTAGTGTCACAGAGCTCTTATTTAGATTATACATTATCTGTTTATAGATTACATTTATAAGGCTAATAATAAGAAAAATAAGAAAAATTTAATTATAATAATGTTTTACATTTTTCTGTTTCTTCTTTGTCTGTTCTAAAACTAAAGTGAAAAAACATATTAGTACTGTGTTGACCTAAAAACAAAAGTTGTTAAAAATGTCTTGCAAAATCTGACTACAACATAACCTACCCCAAGTGAAAGTATGCAGTTTATATTTATGAAGAGATTATGAAAAATTTTGAAAAACCTTGCACTGTTCTATTTTTTTTATCTCGAGTCTAGTTCCATTCTATCCCTAATCAAAGTTTTTTTCATTTAAACTTTTCCACTGCTTATTTTTCTATAAAAACTCTATCTTTTCCAAGACCATTTAACAAGGACATAAATAGAGCTGGTTTTCAATCTCATTGTTTTACTTGCTGATATATAGCAATATAATGTAGCATTCTCTGAATAAACTTTATATTATTTGTACTAGACATTATGGATCAAGAGAATCAAGCAAAGGGTTATTGATGATTCATGCCAACTTTTTTTTGTTGATCCTTGCACCATTCAATTTGTACTTTCATCATTTGGGATGACAAAGTGGTAATACTTTGATTTTTTGAGTCAACTTAGCGTGATCACTCATCCTCTTGATATATGCTGAGATTTTTTTCCTCTACTTGTTCACAAAGTATAAAAGCCAATCTTATTTACTTGCAGTTTTTTTAATTATATTCTTTGCACTGTTAAATCCTCTTTTTCAGTCTATTCATTCTATCCTAGTTCCTAGGTTTTTAATTCTTAGTTGTTTTTAATTTTTAAAAACAATTATGTATGATCTAATGACTTAAACTACTCTTTAAGGCCGTTTTCCACAAGACGAAATATTCGCGCGAAGCGAATTTTTTCGTCGATAAGCATGCGCAGATAAAACATTTCTGGCAATTATTGTCAATTATTGCGAGAAATGTTTTATCTGCGCATGCTTATCGACGAAAAAATTCGCTTCGCGCGAATATTTTGTCTTGTGGAAAACGGCCTTTAGCCTTGTTTTTTTTTTTAATTTGGATTTTACTCGATACTTGTTTTGGGATACGTTGTTGTGCAAGCGATTAATTATGGCAACATATCCGGTCTTTTTTATTAGGCAAAAAATTTTTAGAAGTTTTTTAAGTAATTATATTTTAATGATTTCGCTATTCTATGTTGAATTTATACAAACATTTTAGACTTTTTAAAAATTCTAAATATCTGTCTTTCTGTAATTCCGTTTGGTATAAACATCCAACTAGTTTTTTATAGACTTCCTATTGACTTCTGCATAAACATTCTATTGATTGCATTAAATAGAAATATTCACCTTTTCCTAGAAAAGAGTACTAGGATGGTTATAAGTAGTTTTAAAAATGAATGTCTTAGCACAATTTTTTAAACTCGAAGAATCTTATCTTTTTCTCTCCATTTTCAATCCAAAATGCTTTGTTGCTGAGATGCTCCTCTATTGTATTTAAAAATTCTTTATTATGATAAGTTTTAAAAACGTGCGATTTATTAGTATTTGATGGTATAAACGGATTTGTTTAATATGACTTAATGTTAATCGTAATACAAGTGTATTATTAAGAATTAGTCGTAAATGAAATAATTCCTCTTATTGTATTTAATTTTGTTTTACTATATTTAATGCTTACTTTAATAATTTCTAAATAATTAAATTTGTATTCAAGCAATTTTTTAAAATTAATTTATTGATGCATTGAGTTTAGGGGTGCGCCGATGCATCGGCCATGATAACTATCATGATAACTGTCTTTTTAATTCTGTATTTCTATATTGTATAAAAAAATATTATATTTTTTTATACAATATAGAAACACAAAATTAAAAAAATCTGACTTTTTTAAACAATTGGCATTGGCCGATGGTTACCAAGACCGATGCCGAGGCCGATGCATCGGTGCACCCCTAATTGAGTTATTTTGTAAATTTAATTATTCTTCGTGTTTGGTTGTTGATGTCGTAAAAACTGAACCTACTTTAATTCCTTTTAGTCGGTTTTACCGTAATAATTTAGAATCGGTAACAGGTGTTATTTAAGTTATTTAACATAAAGTGAGAGAGACATCAATTGTTATGTTCAACAAAAAAAAAGTTGTAAAAAAACATTTGATCAACAAAGGGAATAAAATTACCAGTTTATTAAATTTTTATATTTAGGAAGATATTTATATTTAAATGCAATCGCTAATCAACTTCGCTATCCAAACAGCCACACTCATTACTTTAGCTGCACTTTGTTATACCTTTTTGCCGAAGCAAACTCTGAAGCAATTCAAGAGCAAATAACGCGGTAAATATCGCCTTAATTTACATGGTTTTTACACTTTGTATTCAGTGCATATACACTTTGTATTCAGCGCATATACACTTTGTATTCAGCGTAACTTTATAACATTCTAATTTTTTTAGAGTTTTGCTGGAGCGGTTAATAGTCAATAGACCTCATCCTTGGGGACTGCTTATAACTTTTATTGAGTTAATTAAAAATCATAACTACAAATTTTGGAATCACGATTTTGTCCATTGCGCTCCGGAAATTGAAAAGTATGTCTTAGATAGTGTCTTGATAATAATTTAAATGATACTAAAATATATTTTTATGTTTTTTTTTTTTTTTTTTTTTAAAGATTGTTTGAATCTGTTGCAAGAAGCTGCATGCAACCAAAGCAACCGTCTTCTCACAATGGCAGCGAAGAGGGGGATTAATAAAGAAGACATTGTCTTAAACACTTTTTTACGATTACTTGAAGGCAATGTTTCTTCTTTAATTGTCTGTTTTTTCAGACAATATATGTGAAATAATTTTTTAGGAGTTTGAATATTGCGTTTCTTATGTTAAAAAAATACTGTCGTCTTACTTTATTAAAATTTGTTACACTCCTTTATCGCGCAGGATCTTAAACTTAACATTTCAATTTCGAAAACTAATAAGTACTGATATTAGCTGATGTGTATTCAGTTCAACTGTAAATGATACTTTTAAGAAAGATAGTTAAAAAAAAATATTTGAATATGTAATTTAAAATTCTAAAATTTTACATAATGTTAAATCTGTAATTAAAATCCTTATAATCTAATTATAATTGTCAATTTTGTACTATATTTTCATCAGATTTGTACTATATTTATTTCGGAGCCGATTTTTAGAACTCCTTTTAGGTTATAATCTTTAAAATTTTTATTTCAGCGCATTTAATATAAATTATAAAATTCACAAGAGTAAAATCATTAGAATATTTCATGACCATACCAAAAAATTTGAGTGGTTTGCTTAGAAAAGAAACCACAAAATTAAATTTTTTTTTTTTTTTTTTTTTTTTTGAAATGAATTTTGCGCAATTGGCAAATTGCTTTGTTTTTTTTTATGTTATTAAACAAAATCATGTACTGAGTATTTTAAATGCGCGTTATGATCCAATTATTGGACAGTACATTTTATATTTTAACTCACTTATATGATATAATTGTTTATTTTGAAAAGATTATTTCTAAATTTATTAAAAAAATAACCGACTGGTTCTATTTATTTTTTCAATATTTCTGGGAGTTAATATACTATAATTTAAGCCATAATTAAAAAAAACTTTAAATACGATTTCATCTCAAAAAAGAAGTATAATCATATATAAACGATTCTAGGAATGATATGGAGAGTAGAGGGGAGTAGCTGATCTTTAAAAAGTACCAATTGCTCATTAATTTTAGAACCGAAAGGTTCTCAAAACTAAAAATCACCCGACTCAAATGTGTCAAATACTTCATCTTAAAAACACGCTCTTTGGAGAGGCGGGGGGGGGGGCTTTTATTTGAGAAAAATGCCTGCCAAAACCTAAAAAATCTGTTGATGTAAGTACACTCTAATACGTCTATCCCTATTTAAGTCAGTCAATTTTTGTACACTCCGCTGCAATTACGGCTATATGAATCTATTTATATACAAATTTATGCATTTATTCTATGAAACTTTGAAAAATATAGGTAAACAATAGTTGTTGAAAAGCATAGTACTACCTCGAGATGAAATATTAAAAGTTGAAAACTTTTAATATTTTATTTCGGATTGGAAACACAACCGCGTCAGCCGCACCCCCTAATCAGAGCAATTAAACATCCACTGTACTACCCCAATATGTATCCACTGTACTACCCCAATAATTTTTAAATATTTTTTTTTTGCGTACAAATTCTGGGCCGAAGCGCCGAATCTTTGGCCAATCTTAGTTACTATACATCAAATTGTTTCAATTATAATTATGTATATCATACTTTTCAAACCATTTAAAAAGATTACACAAATAACCAGCTCAGACATATCTTGGATTTCTGAAGTAATTTGATTTGTTGCTATAGATACTTCTTTATGCTATGGCATAAAGAATTCCAAACGCATTAAAAATGACATCTTCAAACAACCTGAACATAAGCATGGTTTAAATTTATTGAGAATGTCAATTATAAAGTTTCTTTTTTATATTGATGGACGTTCTTTTATTACTTTTGTTAGATTAGTTAAAACACAGCAAGCAGAAAGATTAAATCATGCTATAAGAAAAATGAGGTCATCAAAAGAAGTAATTAATTCTTCTCAGTAAAAGGCTGCTTTACACATGAAAAATCACCGGTGTCTAGTACTACCGGTACTATGAGGATTTATCTACACTTCGTAAGATAAAGAAATGTAAACAAAAACGATCGAATCAACCTCTACAAAAATTGATGTTCTAATAAAAAATGCGGTAACTCAAAGTCAAATTGCAAATGAAGTTTGTTTTTGCATGAAACTATTCGTTTAAAATAGCCTTCAAAACCTTACAAGTTGTAGCCAGCAAACGCAAAACATCCTAACAGATTTGGCTAAATTTTTCTTATTATTTGATGTGGCCGTGTACATTGTGAATGGCTATTTTTTGAAGCAATTTTATGACAAGTATAATTTTTGAGAAATTTGCAATTATTTCGCGCGGTTAGAATTATTTTTTTTATCTCCACTCAAAATGAGTTATTGATTGCGTTATGTACCTATGTAAATGTTACATTATGTACCTATGTAAATTTTTATTTTTTTAATCATTTTATTTCAAAATTCTAAAATGTGGAGATAGAACAACATAATTCTAACCTAACGATTTGCTATCATCAAATGATGAAAATGCTTATATCATAACTTACCACATATAAAGATTATAAGTATGAATGAATTTTAAGTATTAAATATGCCAATAATTTGTTAAAATAAAAAAATAATTATGTGTAATCTGTTTTTATACGATTTTTTCGTTACAATCTGGAATTTTGCTAAATTGTTTGCAATAGACGATTTCGGAGTTAGCGTAGCCATCTTGGAAAAATATTCTTGGGGGTGCAAGTTGAACTTTGAACTTTCCGTTTTTATGCAAACTTTCATATAAAAGTATGAAAATTTTCATAATTTAAGTTCAAAATAACTCATAGTTTATTAGTTAATTCTTGGTTTAAAAATATTAGCGAAAAATGGTAAACTTGTTGCAAGAGCTTTTGCTGTTATGGAACTTATTCTTGAAATTATATCTTCACAATTTAAAAACAAAAGGAAAGGTGATATTACACCTTTTTTATGGTTTTAAATTTTGTATTTAGTATTTTAAATGGTGCAAACTATACCGTATGAAAACTTTAAATCAAGAATTCACTTTAGTACATACATTTTATTACAGTGAACATTATAAAATATTAGTTATTAGTTTAAAACTAGTTAATTAAATTGTATGTATTATAATGCCAAGTCAAAGCAGATCTTTAGTTAGTGTCTTTATTAATGACAAAAGATACCCTGACGAAATTATAAAACAGCAATGTTGAAGAAAATTTAATAATATACTTTTATTGCTTTTTTTTAAATAAAAGCATTTAGTAAGTAATATCTCGTATGAAATATAATGCCAATTCATAGCAGATGTGTAGTTGGTGTCTGTAATAATTACAAAAGATACCCTGACAAAATTATAAAACATAGCAATGTTGAAGGAAATTTAGTAATGCAAAGTTACCAGCATGTAAAGAAAGAACAAATGCATGATACATTATGGTAGCACTAGTACAAAAGATTTTGTTGTTCCTAAAAACTTTTTTGTTTGTTTAAATCACTTTCTTGAAGAAAAATCTACAAAAGATAATCCTGATCCAACTTTGTTTTTAAAAATCTCTACTAACACCATAGCAACGCCAAAAAAGAGAAAAGTACGTAAAACTTCACGAAACTCAATTATTAATTCTTTAGTTATGAAAGAAACTAATTCAATGTTGACTGTGGTGATTCTGAGTTGAATTTTGTTGTTGCAGATGAAAGAGAAATAGCATCATCTAGTGAATTTCTAGTGTCTGTCCCAATGATGTTCTGGCAGTTGACACGTGAAAATGATGTGCAATTTTTTTTACAGGTTTGGTGAGTACAAAAAATTTTCAGGTGTCTTTAATTATCTCAAACAAAGCCTCTCTTATGACGTATTGGGATGGCAGCAACAAAATTTTGAAATTAAGAAAAAGGTCAAGTTCTGTTGAATTAACAGAAGCAATATTATGTCTCCTGATTATGATGTTGATGTTGAATCATCTATCGAATTTGAATTAGTTTCTTTCATAACTAAAACCTTTTTAGAATTAATAATTGAGTTTTGTGGAAAAAGTACTTTTCTCTTTTATGGTGTTGTTATGGTATTAATAGAGATTTTAAATAAAACAAAGTTGGATCAGGATTATCTTTTGTAGATTTTTTTTCAAGGAAGTGATGTGAACAAACAAAAAAGTTTTTAGGGACAATAAAATCTTTTATACCAGTGCTACCATGATGTATCCATGCATTTCTTCTTTCTTTACATTTTGGTAACTTGTGCATGTCCGGGTATTATTTGTCATTATTACAGACACCAACTATACATTTGCTAAGACTTGGCATTATATTACATACTAGATATTACTTAATAAATGTTTTTATCTTAAAAAAAAAAAAAAGGCAATAAAATATATTAACTAGTTTTAAACTAATAACTATTTTTTTTATAATGAGATCAAACAACTCACTGTAATAAAATGTATGCACTAAAGTGAATTGTTGATTTAAAGTTTTCATATGGTATAGTCTGTACCATTTAAATTACTAAAATAGAAACTTTATTTTTCAATATAAACTATATGTGTAATTAAATAAAAAAATGCAAACTTATTTTATATTATAAAATTTAAAACCATAAAAAAAGGTATAATATCACCTTTTTTTTTGGTTTTAAATTGTGAAGATATAATTTCAAGAATAAGTTTCACAGCAGCAAAAGCTCTTGCAACAAGTTTAACATTTTTTCCTTATAATTATAAACCAAGAATTAACTAATAATCTATGAGTTATTTTGAACTTAAATTAAGAAAGTTTTCATACTTTTATATGACATTTTGCATAAAAACGGAAAGTTCAAAGTTCAACTTGCACCCCCAAGAATATTTTTCCAAGATGGCTACGCTAACTCCGAAATCGTCTATATTCGGCCAAATACCGAATATAAAAAAAGTAGCCGAATTGATCAAATACTAAATAGTCACCGAGTATTCGTGAAATCTCTAGTTTCTATTATATTAAAAACATTATTTGTAAAGATAATTCAGTAAAAAAGAATATGTTAAGTTATTATTTAAACAATAATTCAGAATTATCTTTAACTTTATTCTTGTTTTTACTTCAGCCTATTTCAGGCTATTAAACTGACGATGCAAAGGATATTGAAGAACATTTTTTTAGGCATTGAAAATATCAAATGAAAATAAAGTTTGGATTACATTTTTATAGCTTTTGTAATTAATTTCATTTTTAGAAGTTTTGTTTTAAATACAATTTTTGTTTTTTCTCTCATGATTTTTGTAGCCCTGTCATTAGAAATGCCTTTTGAATTTTATTTTAGTAGCTATTTGGATGGAAATGACTTTTGGAATTTTTTTTTTAAAAGAAATGACTTGAACATTTTAAAAAATTGGTTCAGAAATAAATCATAACCATTAATTACATCGTGAGATTGTTAATTAAGATTTCAATCCATGTAATCGTTTAATATTTTTTTGGCAAATGAAAATTTCATTGATTTGTCTCATGAATACTGTTGATTCGAGAGTAGTATTATTAGGAGTTACGCTATCAGTTAAAAGGAATATAGGGGAATGATCAGCTAAGTCAGTCCTAATTATTATGAAAATTGATAGTTATTACGTTATCTAGTAATGTTGATGATATTTTACTTACTCTTGTTGCTTTGTTTATAGTTGGAATAGGATTTTATTTGAGAAGAGTATCAATAGAAGCTTTTGCATCACTATTTAAAGCATTAAGCCGATGTTCATATCTCCAACTACGTAAACATGTTTCCGCAATATATTTTTTGTGTTTGAGAATGTGCGCAGATAAGTTTTGAATGCTTTTAATCTACCAACTGGTTGTCCTTTGACTTTCTTTTTAACAGAAGATTTTCTTGATGATGGTATTTCTATAATATTTTTTAGCACATTGTTGCAGTGACGGTCATTCCAGTTATAACACTTTTGCAGTTGTTTTTTTTAATTTAGAATTTATTTTCCATTTTTTGTGCTTCACATTATCTCTTTAATAGTTTAGAAATTGACGCGTCCAACTTTAAATTTTCTTTTGTCTGCAATATTTCTTTTTCTTTACGTTATAACGTTTTGTCTACATTTATCTAGTTCCTCTGTTAATAGATTCGCTGTTCCCTTACTCATTATCATACTTCTTATCGCATTATATCGTAAGTCTTACTACAATACAATTTTCCATATTTCTTTAAAGAACTTGCAGAAAATTTCCTTTTTTTTTACTACAAGTTGATTATTTTCTGACTGACTTGGCTGAAAACAATTGCAAAAAGTTAAAAAAATAAATAAATGAAAAACTACTAGTCGCTTCGATAACAAATTAGTAGATGAAAACTAGTGGAGAAATTTACTTATAAAATGCCATAATAGTAATATAATCATAATTCGATAACTTCTATATCAAATTCTATGCTTAAAATTTATCTGCGTTAAAGAGATAACTTACCTTAAAAACAGAGATAAATGACTCCATAAAAACACGGAATGAAATCTTAAAATTTTCTTGTATAAATTTTAATTTAAATAATAAAGCATGCTTATAATTTTCAAAAACAATATTTAACAGCTTTATTTACACTTTCAGTTACTGACCAACATGTAGCAATTATTCAGATCAATGATCAAAAAGAAAGGTTTTCTATTTCAAATAAGTACTAAGTATTCAGAAAAACATTGGTCATAGTTTCAAATAAGTACTAAGTATTCAGAAAAACATTGGTCATAGTTTCAAATAAGTACTAAGTATTCAGAAAAACATTGTTAGCAGTGAAACCTTTATAAAATTAAAATGAAATGTAGTGAAATGCTCTATGGTTTAAAAGTTGTAATAAAAATTAATGTCGACGAAAGTGCATCTGAAATTATCAACAATAAAAACAAAAAGTATATTTTTATAAAATATCAAAATTTATGCTTTTAACAATGTTTCAAAAATAACTTTCATAAGTTAAATAAAAAAAGCGTTACAAATTTTCTTTAGAACCATTAAAACATATCTAGAGTTGCAACTATTTCCCAATTTGGAAGACAATACTCTTTCCATATCTTTCCATTGAGGTCCAGAGAGCTACCTCAGCTTAGACGATTAACGCAATTATAATGATTTCTTATAAATGTCTTTTAAAAAAAGACTTAAATTCTAAAATAAAAATCAGTTTTAAGTAAAATATACAAAATATTCCCCTCCCCGATATTAAATTGTTGTTATAATGTCATCCTCAACATTGTTTAAAGTTTAATGTAACTGAACCATTCTAAATGTATTTATTTTTACATTATCGAAACCCAAGTAAAGTTGTTGTTTGATTTTTTCATCTAATCGAAGTTGAAGTGTAGCGCTAATAACACTTTTAGAAATTGACGTGGATTGGTAATCCAACTAACATTAGGATAGTTTCAAAGTAGTGCCGCGACCACGACCATGCAATTTTCCTCGACCAACAGACAAACCTGTTAGACAAAATGCAAAAATAGCATATTGTAAAAAAAGTTTATAAACTAGATATTAAAAATAAATATTAATTAAAAAAAAAAATACCGCCAACTGGTTTTTTCTGCACTGTTTTCCAAGAATCTTCGCCGCCATCCAAAGATGGGAATTCCTTTAAAAAAATTAAAAATATCAAAAAGTTTGATATTCTTTATTATTATTTTTTAAAATAAAAAATGTCAAACTTTGCAAGTTTTCTTAACTGGGCTTAACTTTTAAAACTCTGCCAGCCCTATGTGTGCGTGTGTATAAGCGCGCGTGTGTGGTTGTGTACAAACAATAGCTTTACCCAAACAATGGAAATTTTTTTAAAAACTGCTGACTTTATATTAATAAACATTTTTAAACAAAAAAATAAAATAAAATATAAAGTAAAAAAATGACTATTGTCTTGCTAAGTATCGAGTTCCTCAGGCAAAAAATAAATGGTGGCTAAATTTTAATGAATTACTAAAAGAAATCTCCAATTAAAACCATCTTATTATAATAGGTGACATTAATTCAGATCTCATTAAAGCAAATGTAAATCCAGGCAAACCACTACTATGTTCACTTAACTTGGCTAGAGCAAGTATTCAGAATACCAAACCCACCAGAATGTCAAATACATGTTCCACTTACCTTGATATAATTGCCATATATCATTATCTAGTATACCTTAAGTACGAGGTTAATAACAACTCAACTAATGATCATTTCCCTGTAACAGCAATATAAAAACAGAATCAATTATAAATAAACTGAAACCTGTATCAAGAGATCATTTAGAAAACGTAAACTTTGAAGTCCTCAATAAGAGGATAGAGTTAATTAAACTTAAGCCATCCATGACAACAAATAAATAAGTACTTGGTATTATTCAATCAGAATAATTATAGATGTATTTGCTCCAGTTAAAATCGAAAAACAAGAACACAATGGATTGGTGAAAAAAATAAAAATTATGATAAAAAGAAGAGATTATTTAGCTAAAAATGGGGGAAAATATCTAAAGTTAACAGATGAAAAAGAAACTAAGGATATTAAAAAACAGATTAGAAAAAGAAACTAAGAATATTAAAAAACAGATCAGAAGCCTTATAAAGAAGATTGAAATAAACAAAGGACCAGATACATTCCTATGCAAAAACCCTAAAGATGGTTGAAAGTATATAAAGCAATTGTGTTACAATACTAAAGATAAAAATCAAACCTTAGATAATAATCCAATCAATTTACAAAATCTTAATGCACTACAAAGATAGGACTTCACTAGTATGGCTAAATGGATATGAACAAATCGACAGCTTTAGTTTTGGGATAGTAAAAATAGGAACCGTATTGAACGTACTTAAATAATATAAATGGAAATAAGTTTACCCAATGAAAGCTGATATCAAGTGGAGTACCTCAAGGTGGTGGCCTAATCTTAGAACTATTCAAAATATATATAAGAGATCTTCCACAAGCATTAACAACTGAATCTTATTTATTTGCAGTTGACATTATCCTATCAGTTGCAGACAGCTCAATGCAAATTATCACTGAGAAACTGATCAAAGGGTTTGGAGATACCAACAAGTTCTGTGTTGATTATGGTTTCACTATCAACCTCAATAAAACGCAACTAATAGTGATCAAATCACTGAGAAAAAAACTTTCTGATTTGCATATTAAAATATTAAATAATAATAATAATAATAATAATAATAATAATAATAATAATAATAATAATAATAATAATAATAATAATAATGACAATAATAATAATAATAATGAATTTAACTTATACTATAATAATAATGAATTTAACTCTTTCGATGGTCAACCTGTATTTTAAGAACCTATCATTTTATTCAACAAATAAATTTTTTCAATTAAATTACAAAAAATTATTACAAAAAAAAATTAAATTAAATTATTAAATTAATTGATTATTTAATAATTAAAAAATAAACTATGCACCTTATCTTTAACAGAAACATCTTGGTTTAATTTAAGTAAATTCATTGATTGATTCAAATTGGATGCAGATTGACTTTGCACTGAATTATGTTGAGAACTTTGTGCTGGGCTATTCCATCCACTCCAAGCTTTTTGCTGAGGTCTTATATTTTCTTCCTTAAATTGTTGCAATTTTGGAAGATTCTTTTCTACTTGGTGAGGCTGAGAAGAGACTAACTTTTGCTGAATTTGAGGTTCTTGCTAATATGAGAGTAAAAAATCTTTAATAAATGATTATTGCATAAATTAAATATTTATAATCATATTTGTGTCAAAGTTTTGATTGTTCACCTAGTTTCTTTGATAAGAGTTTGTGTCAGTTTTATTTTGATAAGGTTATAGAATGTGGTTTCCACACCTACTTTATATTACTGGTCTAGATTCTTGGAGCAAAAATCAAAAGCAGAAAAAAAGCATAGCAAAAATTTACTAAGTATAGATATTATAGAGAAATAAATTGATTTTTCAATTATACAAGAACAAAGAACAAAGCTGCTTAAAATGTCAAAGATTTACATAGAGAGAGAGAGAGAGCGAGAGAGAGAGAGAGAGCGAGAGAGATAGAAAAAGAGAGATTTAAAAAAAACGAAAATATTAAGCTAAATATTTATGGTATTATTGGTAACCATACCAATAATGCAAATGAAAAGTAGAGTAATTAACAGATAAAGCTGCAAGTATGAATACCATTCACCTTTAAAAGCCAAACGTTGAAAAAATGAGATTCATTAACATATCCACCAACTAGAAAATACAAATATAAGGTTGGTACCAATTTTGTATTTGTTGGTGACAATCATAACAGTATCAAGAAACAATGCTGCTAAAATTGGCAATTGTTCTTTACACAATGACATTCCAACTCTAAGTAAAGCAGCAACTTAGAAAGTTACAGACAGAAGTTAACAGTTATCTATGAGGTTACAGTTCAGTTACAGACTAATTACTAGTTTTTGACAGCAAAACATTAAAAAAGTAAATTTCAGGCTGTTATTAAATAGCAAGAAAATGGAAGTTAAACAACTTGCGTTTAAAAGACTACTAGATTATAATTATAACTAAAAAAGTTGCCAAAGTTCTTCATAAAGACAACTTGCAAAATTCAATATGAATGATCATATAAGTTATGTTCAAACATAGTGAAAACATACATAAATGCTGATGATTCAATCAGATAATACAAAAAAGAAAAAGTTTAAGAATATTTATTTTTTAATAAAATGATATTTATTAGTTTTCTTTAAGTTGTTTTTATATTATTTTATTATGAATAAATATTTGCATCCCTCCTTTGACCATCTTTTTAAATAACATACCTTTTACTTTTTAACTACTAAGTACTTATTTTATTACATTTTTATTTTTGCTGTTACTTTTTAGTATTACTATTTTTTTAATTTACGCTATCATTAACATTTATTATTTTTCATCATCTTTTTAATATTTTGTTATAGTTAATTACACATAATATAAATTAAACTTTAATATTGCTATTTATTGTTAATATTACTATTTTTATTTACTTTATTATAACTTTTAATGTTTAGTATCAATGATTGGATCTGATTACAGTTTTAGTAATACCATTATTTCCTTTTAACAATTTCATTTCCAATTAACAATTATTATTATATTTATCATTGTTTAATATTTCTTATCTCATTGTTATTATTATCATTGCTAGTTATTTATTATTATCTTAATACTCTTATTGTTAATAAAATAATTTGATTATATTAACCTTATAATTATTTAGGAAAATAAACATCTTGTTGTAAAATCCGATTTTTCACCACTTTGAAACATTTCTAGTGGGAAAAGCTACTTGCAAGCATTGTAAGAATGAGCACTATACACCAAAGTACTCAACTTCTCTTTATACACATCTTAAATAGAAACATCATGATTTTAACACACAGTTTGAGGCAAACAATAAAAGAGCTGCAAAAGAAGTTTTTTTTTAATTTAGCAAAAAATATAAGTTTATTTTAATTTAGCAAAAAATATAAGTTTATTTAATTTAGCAAAAAATATAAGTTTATTTTAATTTAGCAAAAAAATAAATTTATTTTAATTTAGCAAAAAAAAAAAAAAAGAATGCTGCTGGTCTTGTTAGACGACCCTCAATAACAAGAGCGATTCAAGTCAAACCTTGTGATACCACATACTCTAAACAAATAAAATTTGACTAAAATCTTACTGCAATGTTGCGCACAACAAACCCTTCATTCAATTTAGCGTCAACTAATGGTTTTATTAGATTTATTAAAGTTCACAATCAAGAAGTACAAATTGCAATCAAAAGTAACCCCTAGAACAATATGAAAAAGTGAGAAAAGCTATTGCTGATGATTTCAGCAAATAAATTATATAAAATAATTAAAGTAAATAATTAGATAATTACAAAATAATTAAACAAATAATTAAAGGCCTCTTTCACAAGGCCTTCTTTCCAAGTAGCAAACACACAGGTGGATCAATAACAGAAGTTCAAATGTCACCTAAGCTGTTGAAAAAATCTAGAACTGCAAATAAAGATCCACTGTGCTGGTCACACTTTGTTCTTCATTGTTACAAAAAGCATTGAAAAAGTTGACATTGAAAAAATGTAGCGTTTCAACTTGGTGAAAAAAAAGAACAAATCACAAAGTATCAAAAGATAGCACAGAGGATACCACTTATGCAATTGTACATGCTTGACTGATGCTAAATATGTATACTTCTCAAAAGATTGCATCAAATATATTAATGACTTGGACAACCAAGTTGAGCTTGATTCAACTTCTTGCCTTGAGGAGGTTAATTCAACTTCTTGTCTTGACCCAACACCATTTCGAGATTCAAGATAAAATTGACTCTGTGTAAGCTTTGCTAACTATGCCTCAGTCAGATACTGGTGACAAACCTATGACCAAAAAGATATAGATGTTAAGCTTGAACAATTTTTTGAATCTCCAATGGCAAATTTAGGCACTGACCCTTTGGTGGAAAAGCATGGCAAGTGACTAACCAAACATTGGCTGCTATTGTCAAGAAAATCTTTTCTATTCCTGGATCATAAGCATCACCTGAAAGAGTTTTTTTCTGGATTTGGTCAGGTTGCTACTTGGATATGATCAAATCTCAACAGAACAAAAGTTAAGAAACTATTCTAAATAGCTTAAAATTATCCATATGTGGAACATAAATTGAGAATATAATGGAAAGTCAAAAAATTAAGAAAACATTTCAAAAATAATTTTAAAAAAGTGCCAATTTCAGTGTAATTGTTATTTAAATTATGAAATTATTAAATGTCATAAAAAAATTTATTATATGTATCCTTTTCTATCTTACAAAAAAAAAATTGTTAGCATTCAGTAATATTAAATTTCAGAAACCTTAGTGCAAGAAATGTTTTTGGTATAAGTTTTGATCTCAATCAAATATGAGTTTAACTTTGTTTTCTGAATTAGAATAAATACCAATATTCAGAATTTGATTGCTTACAACTTTAGGATGAATATTTGTTAAACTTCTGTATCAAAAGTACACATTTTTTATTCACTATTCAGTTAATGAAAACACTATTCACTTTAAACACATACACAAACAACAAAATAACATTTGGAAAAGGTAAGAAAGTATTATTAAAAGTATTAGTATTAAAGCACTATAAGAAATGTATATGTATATATAAAAGGTGTTAACAATGATTACATTTTTTAATGTGTTTTCACAATATTGGGAATATATATCCTGTTATTGTTCTACAAAATAATAGGAATTTTATTTAAAATTGTCCTATTATTTCAGGACAAAAAAAAAAAAAAAAAAAAAAAAAAGATTGAAGTTTTTTCTTGTATTTGTATTTTCTAAATAAGTTGTATTTTCTATAGTGTTTAAAGAAATTGTTACTAAAAGGAGTTAAGGTAATATTTTATTAATTATTTATATTTTAGGTATTTTTGGTTTTACGGCTGATTAGGTTTGAATTTATTTAAAAAATATAAGTACTTTTTTTTCTTGTTAGTACATTTATTTTTTAGTACGTATAAAGATAGTGTAAAATATAACTTTAAAAATACTCCTTTCTTAAGTTTATGTTTCACTACATATTCTTACGTTTTTATATTTCACTAAAAAAAACTGTAAAAGCACAAAAACTCAATATAAAGCTAGTGCAAAAATGATATGTGAAAGTAGATAACACAGAAAATAGATAAAACTACAAATACATATATATCAAAAAATATAAAGATATAAGTATATAAAAACATAGATAAAAAAAAAAAATTATTAAACCTTTAGTCCCATGTAGCAGATCTGCAAATTTTTACTAGCCTGGTATTTAGCTTATTGGTTCATGTAAAAAATGCCTATTGTGGCAAACTTGCAACTTACATAATTAAATTAGATATATTTAGGTGGTGTTATCAAGGCAAATATCAACACTTAAATCTTACTTTAAAAAAATAGAATTTTCTTTTAATCTAAAAAGAGTTTAGGAAGATTTTGAAAGTATTTGTTATAGATTTGATAGTTTCAAATGTATAGTTGATTTGATGACAAAAACAGTTAAATGACTCAGAATCACATTATAAACCTTAAGAACCATAAATTATGAAAAATAGTGGAAAAGTACATGAAGTTGTGGTGGCAAGAAGAATGTTTTCATACATTCAATGTTAAAAATGTAATGTTTGGCTTTGATGGAAGAGAAAGATATTGTTTTAAGGATTTTAATGCATCAGAACTAGCAACCCAAATAAAAACATGTTCTTATAAATACATATAAACAACTTCCTTAAAAGCCTATTGCATCAGAAAAGGTACATTTAAAAAAAAGGATTGCCAAAAATTATTTTCCTAAATATTAATGTTTTTCTATTTTGCTAACCAAAACATGTTTTTACACTGTTGAAAATAATTTTTTTTTTAAGTTTAAGGTCTGGGTTATAACACTCCTTTAACTATAAATAAAGAGAATCATCATCACTATTATCAACATCATTGCTTGTACCTTTAGAACTGGTGTTTGACTAGTCGAAATAAAGTTTTTCATGATAGGGTAAGCACCAGCTTGCATCAACCTCCCAGCTTCATCATGCTCTCTCAGAGTATCTACATCAGCTTTACTCAAAGTGCGTGCTCCACAGCCAGATTTTGATCCGTCTGAAATAAACACTTGTTAAAAATGTATATAAACATAAAAAATATCGTCTAATAACAAAAAATGCAAAATTTACCCAAAGCCGGTATATCAAGCTCAAGAAGAGCCCATTTAGCTGCGTTGTGTTTGGCATCTTTTTTAGTTGAGTTGAATTCTTTACTCTCGTACCATTTTAAACCCACACGGCATTGGTAACCAAAGCCTCCAAGACTAGAAGTACACTCTTTGTATTCTGGTAAATTCCATTTTACTTTTTGACACACAATTTGTAAAAGACTAGTATAGTCAACACGTTCCGCTGATATGAGAAAAAATAAAAATTAATTAAAGTATTTTAAAATGACACAAAAATTAGTGAATTTGTAAAAACTTCTTAAATAAAATACCTAACATTTTTTCACTGGCCAATGGGTAAGCAGCTTTTATAGCATTGAGTTTGTCTTCACGCTCTTTCTCAGTCCATTTTGTTGGATCAGTTACCCTATATTCATAACACATACATGAATATATATATATATATATATATATATATATATATATATATATATATATATATATATATACACATATATAAACACACACACACACACACACACACACACACACACACATATATATATATATGTATATACATATACATATGAATAAGTATATATATATACACATATGTATACATGTATACATATATGTATTTATGTATGCATATGTGTGCATATATATACACACACACATAGAGTTTCTGAAAAACAGCAGTTTTTAAAAAACAGCTGTTTTACTGTTTCATATCTTTCAAAAACAGCAGTTAACAGCTGTTTTAAAGTTTTTGAAGTTCCTACCCCCTGCCTTTATTATCCCCACCCTCCTTGTATTAAGCAGACAAGAGTAAAATTTTTTCCAATAATATATATTCAACATAAACTTTATATTTTATAATAGTATTTCAAAAATACAAGAGCTGATAATGACTAATCTGAAAGTCGAGATCTTATTTTTGAACAAAAGTTGGCACACACAGAATACTCTTTCAACATTCGTAGATGTGGGCTTAACTGTTAATAATGCATCATAAAGCTTTTGTAAGTTTTCTGTTCGCTGGCCTGTATTCTTAAAGAGAGTTAATTCAACTTTTAACCACCTGAAATTTTCCTGTCCAGAAGGACAGGAAAATTTTCTTCTGCAACACATTCAGTTCCTCTTATAGAGTTAAACATTTAGTAGATGGATACTTGGAAGTTGTTTCAATGATATCAAATTCATGAACATTAAAAAGTCCAGATGCCAACATTCCTGCAAAAGTTATCATACCTCTGGATGGGGTTATTGTAGAGTTTTTTAGACGGTGTAATAAATTCATTGACTCTAATTCTCAAATAATTCATCAATTTTTTGCCAATTCACTGTTAACTAAAGAAAGTTTCTCGAACATAAATTCTAAAAAATTCATAAATTCGTGTCAGCGCTCAACAGAGTTGCATCTTCCCTACTAAGATTTTCTATTGCAAGTTTAATGGGTTTCATTGCTTCTAGTAAACCTTTCAAGGCATCGAAGTCTATATTATTGGCTTAACTTATATCTGCCTTAAATTCTCATAAAACTTCTCGAATTGCCGTCTTTATCTTTATCAATGGCTCAAGCATTATTCGTATTGTGTTCCAACGAGTCTTTACATCAAGATGAAGTTCAATTTCTTTTCCAATTAAAGCCTTGACTTTTGATTGAAAAACTTTATTTTGAACACTTGACAGTTTGATGTATTTTATCAGTTTGCATGAGTTCTTAAGTAAATTATTGTAGTGAATAAAATCTTTGCAATCATCATTTACAAATTCAAAATGGTGCCTTCGCCAAAAGAATCATTTTCATTGTTATCGTCATCACAGGGATTGCTTAAATCTTCAATATTATGTTTTTTTGTATAAAGTGTATCACATACTTCAAGATTTATACCATGATTAAGACAAAATTGACCAATAACATATAAATTTCGAATATAATTCTTGTTTACAGATGCTCCATTCTGAGTAGATGCAACCAAATTTTTTTCCATCGATATTCCAAACACATTTAGATGTTTATTTCTTTATTTCAACCATATCAAGTGCTTGCATGAACCCAAAATTCGAATTAATCCTGTTAGTTACGTGATATTGTCAGGTGATTTTATCAGGAATATTAACTCCAAAATATCTTAGTCCTCTTAAAGAAGTAACCTTATCAGCAATCATGCTAAACTTCACTTTATTGGCTACTTTTAATTTTATGGTGTCAATCTTTTTTTTTGTTGCTTTTTATCAAAATCTTTGTGCAAAAGTTTCATTCACTTTCATTCAAAAGTTTCATTCACTTTCATTTCACATCACTTTCATTAGCGGGGAGTTTAAATCCATCTCAAGTTATTGACTGACAAATGTATTAATTTCTGGTTATAGCTCGAACGAAAATGCCATCCGTAGCCAAATCAAAACAATACTTTGAAGCTTCTTTTGCGCAAAAAAGTCGCCAACAGTTTTTTGACTCTTCTCGCTTGCTTTCTCATTTGTTTGTATGATTAATTCTGTTGCCTTATCTAAACAAAGTCTGTGACTTTTTAAGTGATTTTCTAAGGTAGTTGTAGAATTTCCTGATCATTTTATTGTTACAACGCTGACACTGTCCTTCCAACTCTTTTGCAATTGGATTTTTCCATTTTGTTGCGTATATATCCAGACTGACATTGCTAATAATATGAATAGAAAATAAGGATATTTAGTAACTTGTAACTATGCATTTATTGTTAAGTCAATGTAAATAAGAAACTGGTGTTAGAAGCCCTATTTATAACTCTAAAGAAACTCTAAAGAAACTCTTAAGAAACTTTTAAAAAACTTTTAGTACTAGATTAGTAAAAAAGAACTATTAAAATAGGAAACTCCGTTGTACTTGCCTGCTCTTAGTTTTTTTAAAAAAAAATGATAACTACTCAACTAAAGTTATTTACTAAAGTTACTTATTATCCTATATTATAAACCTATATTATTAAATTGTTATTGATAAAATAAATCAAATTAAATTAACATTTAAATTGCTTTAATAAACCTTTATATTGTTAATAAAGAAACTTTTCTCTTAGCAATTGTTTATTTTAAAAATATAAATAATTAAACTTTTATTTGAAAGTGTTCGAATAAAAAAATTGGGACATTTTCAGGTTTGAATGAAACTTTATGTAGTTAAAACTCATTATAATATTGAAACAGAATTTAATTGTTTTGCGAATGCATAAAAAAAGTTCCAGTTTTTAATTTTTGACTCTTTAATTTCAATTAAAAAAACAGTAAAAAAAGTCATTTAAAAAACAGCTGTTTGCTGTTTGTTTTTTTTTTGTAAAAAAAAAGCTGTTTTACTGTTACTGTTAAACAGTGTTCAGAAACCCTACACACACACATACACACACTGACTTTTTTTCCTTACTCTTTTCTATTGCTTTTTTTTTTGGAAAAAGAAAAAAACCAAGAATAATAAAAAAAATTATTACTGCCCCAACCTAAACCATTGATCAATATAAAAACACTTCTTGTATTTTCTCTTTACTTAGTCAGTTGACATATATACTGAATCCCTAAGCAGCTCCCTATTTCAGTATGACGTCAGACTACTTACCAAATTATGCAATATTATATATATTTTTTAATGTTATTCACTTTCCCAAGGCAGAGAGAGAGAGAGCCACTCAAGGACACTATTTTATTGTGGTTACAACCCCCTTTCAACCTTTTAACTCTGAAACACAAACCTTGATGAATAAGGCTGCTATGTGGAAAAAACAAGTTGAACGTGGTACTATCAAGAAAAAAATAAACATCAAAATGTATATACGCAATACTATTATATTAGATATATATATCTACTATAGCATATACAAATCAGCAATTGTTTAATAGTTTTGCTTATATTCATAGCATACGGGTTTTTCAGAAAAAGAAAAAAAAA